CTCAGGTCCTAATCCAGATTTCCTTTTTTTTTTTTTTTTTTTTTGGTACCAGGGATGATTGAACCCAGAGGTGTTTAACCACTGAACCACATCCCCAGTGCTTTTTTTATTTTGAGACAGAGTCTCACAGCGTTGTTTAGAACTCACTAAATTGCTAAGGCTGCTTTGAACTTAAGATCCTCCTGCCTCAGCCTTCTGAGTCACTGGGATTACAGGTGTGCAACACTATTGCACAGCTGTACTTTCTTTCAGAAGGTGGTTAGAGCCTGAATATAAAGTGCCTAAGATACCTCTAAGAAGGGCTGTGAATTCCATTTTGTAGTACTAGTGATGTCGAAATGAAATATACAATATGAAGGAATTAAGAAAAAAATCTCCTGCCAGGCTCAGTGGCACAGGTCTGTAATACCAGCAACTCAGAAGGCTAGGGCAAGAGGATCTCAAGTTCAAAGCTAGCCTCAGCAACTTGGAAGGCCCTAAGCAACTCAGGGAGACCCTGTCTCTAATTAAGATATTAAAAAAGGCCTGGGGATGTAGCTCAGCGATTAAGCATTAAGCGCCTCTGGGTTCAATCTCTGACATCAAGAAGAAGAAACCTTCTTTTCCCATATTTTATCAAAAGAAAATAACTGAGTTTTATTAATGTTTATTAAGCAGGTGATCATGTCAAAAATATAATATTCCAAGAGAAAACTAGCTCTTTGATGAAAAATGTGTTGTACCTACTTTGTTCAGTAGGTACAAATTATTGTAGTCCAACTATTCTAACCCCAACAAAATGGAAAAAAGACTGAAACAGTACATACAAATGAAGACAATAATGGTCCAGACTGATATTTACACTTTTAGTATTAGCTGTGAGCTGTGTGACAAATAGAGATGATGATAGTGATCTGATAACTCGTGACAAGAGCTTTGACACTCCTAAAATGTTTAAAGGATATTAGATTTATGGTATTGGGAATCTGACCCAGTGTACTTTACCCCTAACCTATATTCCCAGCCCTTTTTAAAAATTTTTTTATTATTTTTTAGTTAGGCATGACAGTAGAATGTATTTTGACATATATACATGGAGTATGACTTGCCATTTTTGTGGTTATACATGATGTGGAGTTACACTGATTGTATATTCATATATAAGCATAGGAACATTATGTCCAATTCATTCTACTGTCTTTCCCATTCCCATCCCTCTCTCTTCCCCCCCACTCTGGCAGGTCCAATCCAGTGAATTCCCGTGCCCCCACCCCTGTTGAGAGCCACAGCCCAGTCTGAATGGCCCCTGGCATTTTGCCAGAAATAGGTGGTGCCAATGAGCCATTAACAAGTTAAGCTGTGTATAATTGCTGTGACTGGATGATGCTGGATTGAAACAGGCTGTGTATTCAGTTGTATATTAGACCCCTGCTGTCCGGCAATAGGGCGGCTCCTGATGCCTCAGGCGCCTGCTACTTTTGAGTTCCTGTTGAGTTCTGGTTGAGCTCTAGCAGGGATTCCTAGAGAGTTCTTGTTGGTTGGTGAAGGTCCAATAGAGGGAGTTCCGGTTGGTGTGTGGTGTTCCTGGAAGCACACATGGAGTGCGGGTGAGAGTTGGGGCAATAAAGTAGTTCCTGTTTGAACCTACAAGTGCCTGGTAGAGGCTCGGTTATTTTTGTGCCCAGCCAGACTGCGGCACACCTCCTCCCCCATTGTAAGTCAGCCTCTACTTATCAGAGAGAAGGAACATTCAGACTTTGGTTTTGTGGGATTTACTTATTTCACTTAGCATGATAGTCTCTTGTTCCATCCACTTGCCAGCAAATGCCATAATTTCTTTCTTTTTCTTTCTTTTTTTTAATGGCTGAGAGAAAGTCCATTGTGTATGTGTATCACATTTTCTTTATCCATTCATCTGTTGAGGGCACCTAGGTTGGTTCTATAGCTTAGCTATTGTGAGTTGAGCTGCTATAAATGTTGATGTGGCAGAGTCATTGTAGTATGCTGATTTTAAGTCCTTTGGTTATATGGGGGGGGGGGGGATAATTGGGTCAAATGGTGTTCCATTCTAAGTTTTCTGAGGAATCTCCATGCTGTTTTCCAGGTAGTTGCACCAATTTGCAGTCCCACCAGCAATGTATTCGTGTACCTTTCCCCAGACCTTATTATTTTTTGAGACAGGGTCTTGCTAAGTTGCTAAGGCTGGCCTCATACTTGTAATTCTATGTTCAGCTTCCTGAATTTCTGGGATTAGAGGCATGTACCACTGCACCCAGCATAAAGGATTGTTTTTAAATATAAATATATATCCGCTGTCATTTTATGAGTATATTATACCCTAAGTACATATTGGGTCTTAAATGCGATCTGTTAATGTGGAGTCAGTGTAACTGAAACATTTAAAAATTTTGCTTATTTTATCTTTAAGCCTTTTATTTCCATTTTATGTATTTTAGTTATTTTAAGTATCCCCCTTAGAGACTGAGGAGACGGTGCCATACACACACATACGTATAAACATACACACACACACACACACACACACACACGTGTGTGTGTGTGTGTGTGTGTGTTCTTAGTAAAATTTTGTTTATAAAAATGGTTTTAGAGATTTTCAGAAAGGTTTGAAAAACTCTTACATAGATGGTGAGAGCAACTGATAAAAACTTTTGAGTAGATAACTTTGATAACACAGATTTCCATTTATTCTTACCTGATTATATAGCACATAAGAAGTATTAATCTGAGGCCTGGATTAATTAAGGGATATTTTTCATGTACTGATTAGAGCCAAAAAGTACCAATATTTTCATTTTCAAGGCTTTGTCTTTATTAATCTGGAGCTCATTTCTAATTTTTTCTTTTGTTTTGCAGTATTTAATCAAACCCCAGGGCCTCGCCCATGCTAATCAAGTGCTCTACCATTGACCTAATTCCCAGCCCTTTTAAATTTTATTTTGTTTTTTGTTTTTGGTGTTGGTGATTGAACCCTGCAGCATTTTGACACTGGGCTATCCTCCCTCTTTTTTTTGACTCAGGGTCTCACTAAGTTGCTTAGGTTCTCACAAAGTTGGTGAGGATGGCCTTGAACTTGTCCTCCTGCCTCAGCCTCACAAATCACTGACACTGCAAATAAGTGCCACTGTGTCCAGCTAGTTTTACATTTCTTTCTTTCTTTTTTCTTTTAAAGAGAGAGAATTTTTTAATATTTATTGTTCAGTTTTCTGTGGACACAACATCTTTATTTTATTTTTATATGGTGCTAAGGATCGAATCCAACGCCCCGCACATGCCAGGCGAACACCTTACCACTCGAGCCACATCCACATCCCTAGTTTTAGATTTCTTAACATCAGGCCATAATATTTAAAAGTACTGGTCAGATGAACAATTATTAAATATAAGGTATTTTTTAGATTATATTTTTGGTGGAGGTATAACTAAGTTCATGGTTTGGTTTGTTTCTTTTGCTTTTTGGAGTTGTTTGGTTGGTTTTGGGTTGTTGTTATTGTTTGTGTGTTTGTTTTTGTGGTCCTGGGGATTGAACTTGCAAGGCAAGCACTCTACCAACTGAGCTATATCCCCCAGCCCACTTTTGCATTTGTTTGTTTGTTTGCCTTTGTGTGTGTGTGCATGTGTGTGCCAGGAATTGGACCCAGGGATACTTAACCACTGAGCCACATCTCAACCCTTTTTTATATTTTATTTGGAGACAGGTTGCTTAGAGCTTCATTGAGTTTCTGAGGCTGGCTTTGAACCTGCAATCCTCCTGCCTCAGCCTCCCAACCTGCTGGCATTATAGGTTTTGCACCATCATGTTCAGTTCATGTTTATTTTTAAAATCAGCATTGTAGCTCTATTAAATTTTACTATGAGGGACTGGGCTTTATTAGCTCAGTGGCAGAGTGCTTGCGTAGCATGTGGGTTCGATTCTCAGCCCCACATAAAAAAAATAAATAAAGGCATTCTGTCCATCTACAACTACCCCAATTTTTTTTTTTTTAGTTTTACTATGAATCCTGAAATATTTGAGTATTGCATAGTGACTTTAGTATTTAAATGTGATTTTTGTATGTGTTTTAATTTAAATCCAAATTTAGTTTCTAACATAGTGGTTGACAACCTGTATTTAAAGGTGCAATCTTTTTAATACGATGTAAGAAGACATTGTAGTAAGGCACTTAAGCTAAACCTTGGGTTAATTTTTCTACAACCTAAGCTGCCAGACCAGTGGGTGCTCTTGGTAGTATTTGTAGGTAGAATGAGTGATTTCATTTCACCATTAGATTGCTTAAGGTCTTAAAGGCTTTTCCCAATTAAAAAAAAAAAAGCCAAAAGTAGAGTTAAACATTAACATTTTTCAGGTATTAGTTGGCATACTTTTTTTGGTGGGGGTGGGTGGGTACTGAGGATTTAACCCAGAAGTGCTTCACCACTGAGTTGCATCTCCAGCCTTTCATTTTTTAAATTTTGAGACAGGGTCTTAGTAAGTTGCTTAGGACCTTGCTAAGTTGATGATACTGACCTTGAATTTGTGATCCTCCTTTCTCAACCTCCCAAGTCAGTGGAATTACAGGCATGCACCAGTATAGTTGGCTTTTGTCAGCATAATTTTAACTAGTTGACAACTAGCTAAAAAGGAAAAGCAAACATGTAGGCCAATAGTGAATGGAGCAGCTGACTTTCTGGAAACAATAGAAAGTAGATGGTTAGAATTGTCTACATTACAACTTTAGCCAAGAATAACTAATCCGTTTAAGTTTTATCTTGGTAACATACAAAGCCCACTAACCTGTTTTAGTATTTTTTGTTTTGTTTTAGAAAATTCATCAATGTTATTTTGAATACCAAAGTACTGTTTCATTGCCAGTATATTACTAAAGTCAGTTGAGTATAGGTTAATTGTGCTTATCAGATGGCATTTGTCATTGCTATTCTGTTTCAGTTCTCTGCAACTTTATGTACACTTTGTACATATCTTTGCTGTCATCATGATGTAGAAATCTTTTATTTTTCAACAGGATACGTTAATTGTTTGGTCAGAAGCTGAGAACTATGATCTGGCTCTAAGTTTTCAGGAAAAAGCTGGCTGTGATGAGATCTGGGAAAAAATTTGCCAGGTAAGTTTTGGGGTTTTTTTGTTTTGTTTTGTTTTTTTCTTTGCAACGCTGGGAATTGAAACTTAAGGCCTTGGTAGGCAAGTTCTCTATCACGGAACTACATCCCTCCAGAGTCCTGAAATTTTATTTATTTGTTTGTTTAGTTGGTGGGTGCTGGAGATTGAACCCAGAGGTGCTCAACCACTGAGCATATCTCCAGCCTCCTCCCACTTTTTTTTTTTTTTGTAGGCATGGTCTCACTTGGTTTGGTTGCTTTTGGCATCACTAAGTTACTGAGGCTGCTTTTAGACTTGAGATTTTCCTACCTCAGCCTCCTGGGTCACTGGGATTACAGATGTGTACCACTGCACCTGCCTCTAATGATTTTTAGTACTTAAGTTTTTTGAATTAGTTTATGGATCTGATAATAATACAATCATTTTTTCCCTTGGTTCTGCTAATAACAGTGCCAGATAATTTAATAAAATGGTTCAAGAAAGTGTAGTGTGAGCCTCCCCATTCCAAATAAGAATTATTTGATATGAGGCCCTGAATCAATAAACTTTTAACTGGGAATGGTTGCTTTGTTTCTTTTCTACCTTGTATCTTACTGTGCATCTTATGTTGCTAGAGCATTATTAGTATACAATATTAAACATAGTTTCCACTGATAAACAATTAAAAACTAATAAATAAGATTTTGTGATTCATATAAACTATACATAGAAAAAAAACAGAATTGTTTTTGTTACTATTTTGCCTTTAAACCTGAAAGGGTCCTGGTTTTTTTTTTTTTGTTTTGTTTTGTTTTTTTTTCTTTTTGCTCTTCCAGGTGTTCTGTGAGGATTGAATTGAATATTTCATGTGAGAAGTTTTCTATAAACTGAGATTTAACTTAAGACTTAAGAAATTAAGTCTTAACTTGTAGACATATACAATGCATGCAACAAATATTTACTTTTCTGCTCTTGATTTAAGATGAGCTTGGATCATATGTTCTTCCGTGCAGTGGGGCAGGGGCTGACCCATGTAAATAATAAAACATACTGAAGGGTATGAACTAATTTATAAAAAATATTATAGAGAAAACATTAAAAGTGAAAAATCACTTATTTAAATTACTAATTTACAAAATGAAAGAAAGTATTTGAGATTGTTCAGAATATATTAATGAAAGTATATAAGAATAGCCTTCTTAAATTATAAATTCTAACAAAGGTGATGTTTTATTTCATTCTCTTTTCCTCTCCCTCTTAACAGCATGGTAGCTCATGGTAACTATACATGTACTCAGTAAACATTTAAAGAAGAAAAAAATAATGCAGAAGACAAACTCCTTGTGAAGAACTAGGATGCTGATTGATATATTCACTATAACATGTATTTATAGGATGGATAATATTTTGCAGTGATCAACATATAGGTTATACCTTGTTCTCCACCTCAGTATTTACTGTTTAATTTGTGGTTTTGAATATTTATGTACTATTAAAGACTAAATATATTTGTACTAAAATTTTTTTGCTAAAATGTATATTGTACTGTTTTTACTCAGGTAGTTTGGGAGATCCCTAAAACMACTCTCAGGGTCCAATATAATTCATTGAAATGACTGTAAGAACCGAACAAAGCTAATATACTTATGGCTACAATTTATTATAGTGAAATGATGCAGATTAAGATTACCACATGGAAAAAGATACATGGAGCAGGATCCAGGAAAGTTATATCCAGGCTTGATTTTCTAGTTTTCTCTCCTATAGACATAGACAGTGCTTATTTCTCTCGGCAACCAGGTATGGCAATACTCATGAAGTATTGCCAGCCAGGGTAGCTTACCCAAATATTTGTGTCCAAGGTTTTCAGTGGGATCAGTCACAAAAGCATGGCTAACCTTAGTCTTCAACACCTCAAAAAGTGGACTACCTTCTATCATAAACCATATCATTAGCATAGAATATCCAAAATAGCCTGATGTTCCTTGGTAAACCAAGTCACAGCTTTAGAAAAATAGTTCAGGTACAGAAAGATTATCTCTCGGAAGCTGAGCAAGATCCAAACCTTTCTTTGGGAAAGGTCAATCCCTTTGCCAAGGTTTTTTCCCATCAAAATGATCATGACTGTCTAAGGATCTACATCTAATATAATCATTTATATGACAGAGCAATATGAGTGTGAATGTGCCTGTCATTTGAAAGAGCCAGTATAAGGTAGAGATAGATATGAAGAAACAGCTCATCTGTTTTATAAAGCCACAACATACTTTTTATATTTGTTTACTAATATGATTATTCATTTCCCTTCTTGATCTACTGTAATTTATACATTTTGATAAATTTGTACAGAACTGTTTAGCATAGAGCTTAGCCAGTAGTTAATAAAATCCAGTTCTTCCTCAGGCTAGTCATTTTCTGTTGGCATCATATCCTCAGGAAGCTTAACTCCCATTTGTCAATTGACTTAATAAATAATCAATATTGTTATAAGATTTATGCACATACATAAAAGTAGTTTAATCAACCGTACCAGTGTTATGCATATCATAGTATGGTAGTAGATATAACCTGAAAAGTAAGAATTAATAGATACTAGCATATACTAGACTTTAGTCATTAACAGTCCAGTTCATCATAATATTATATGATAAAATGTCAGGGATGTCATTCAYCAGAGTTTACAGGCTTCCATTCACCTATATCAGGTTCTAAGAGCAGAGATGATCTTGGAAGACATAAGATTTCACCATTCTAGGCATCTGTTGTAATTGAGCTAGGAGATCCTATCATCTTGCTCTGAACCTTTCTTGAGACACAGTTATTAACATTGGATTTCTTTTGTTGCATTACCCATTTATTAATTCCTTTGCCCTCAGTTACTATTTCTCCTTTGTCRTTGATTTTTATGCAAAGTTTTCCAAATTTGTAGGAATGTTAGCTTTGGTCACTCTGATAGTCCTATAGGGTTAATTATTGTATGGATTACTTGAAAGATTTGTGTATGTTGCTGATTATACATTTAGTTATTGTTCCTATAAATTATGTTTTACTTTTTGGTTCTGGATTGGGTTTGCATCTCCCTATTTGACCAGTGTAGGCCAGGATTAGAAGGAAAGATACTTTGCTTCTGACAGCCACTCAGGGGCCAGACTGATAGAGAACACATTTTTTTTTTCTAAAATATTGCAAAGTGGGAAGGAAAGGTGACATCAGAGCACTGACTTCCTGTACCACACTGATGATTAAACCCCGCGGTGCTCTGCCATCTATCTACACCACCACTCTTCTCCCCCAACTTTTTTCTTTTTTTGAGACAAGGTCTTGCTAAACTGCCAGGCTGTCCTCAAACTTGAATGTTCCTCCCTCAGCTTCCTAGTTGCTGGGATTTTAAAAGTTTTGCCCAGATATTACATGTGGGTTTTTTTTTTTTTTTTTGCTTGCATTTTATTGACCAGTTTAAGTTATACAGCTAAAAATAAGTGTATTGAAGAACATAACTAATGCATCTCAAAAGGGAGAGAATCAGAAATAGTTGGTGGACTACACCTATGGCCTCTATGTAAATATTTGGATGAATGTGGGGTTGACAAATCAGATCAGTGAAAGTTGACCTTAGGAGAGGATGAAAGAAATTTGTGAGGATTAATGCTAGATTACAGAAATAAACACTATAATCAATTTAATGCTTCTTGAATATTTTATTCTTAAACATGCAAGCTGTATTTATTTGAAGTGTAAAGTTAACTTATCTGGTTTTTTTCCCAAGTAGTGAGCCAACAGATTTTGTTGTAAGATGAGTATTCAAACACTGTAGACTTAGTGAAACCAGTCTTGTGATCATTCCTCCCTCATTATTCCAGTTTCTTTTAAAGAATTTGTAATCCTGCTGGTAACACATTTTATACTATATAGACATTTGTGATTCCTCTTCTAGTTTTTCCTCATCTATCCATTCTCTTATCTGTTCCACCACCACTATCCAAAATCAGTTGCTCATGTAAACTTTAGAATAATGCTCTAATTTGTCTATAGTCTAAAATTTATTCCATATGACTGGTACTACACCACACACACGTAGCCTCCCTTCTTCCCCCCCCCCACCAGTTTGTTCATGCATAGGATAGAACCCCAGTACCTTGGGCATGCTTGGCAGGCACTCTGCCACTGAGCTCCAATCCCCAGCCCAACCACATTAACTTTCTAAGAAGGTTCTGTACTTACACTTCCTGCATAATTACTCAGTGTTTTAGCTTGTCATTCCATGATTTGCCATCAGTTTACATTTCCAGTCTGGGTATTTGGCATTTGCATGTCACATATATTTCTGTCTCTCTGCCTTTCTGCAGTTTCCCTTGAGTTTTGAGTTTCGATATAGTTTATCTCCTATCTAAATTTTACCCATCTTTGGCTTCCAAAGATCTCAAATACTGTTACTTTTATAATTCTTTTCCTGCTCCCCTTCATTCCACCCAAGTCCCCCCMCACACACACACCAAGAACTGAAGGAAATTCTGAATTATCTTTGCATTTTATGTGAATTGCTCTATGATCTTGCTACTTATGTGTCAGTTTCCCCAAACCCAGCCACACTGTTGAAAAATCAAAAGTAAAAATATTCATCTCTGTAGAAAAAGAACTTATGTGCATCTGTGTATCTACATTTCTCTAAACTCTTAGATCTTTTTTTCATGTGTTGTTTTGGTGGATACAGAAATTTGTAGAACTTAGGATGTTTTGAAGTGGAGAAGACGATAGTTGCGTTCTTGTGTTAATTAGAAAAAATTTTATGAAGAGTTATTTTTTGGAGTACTTTATTATAGAAAATTTGTTTTAGCCTTGCTTAACCTGAGTTGACAATCTGAATCATAATAGTTCKCTATTTATTGTTTTGTAATTTTGATATAGATTAAAAGTTGGAGGCTTTATCACAGATGTTAAATGAATATTGTTCTCTTGGGTTTTTATTTTATTCATTTTTGATGATGCTGGCAATTGAACCCAGGGATGTTTTACCACTGAGTTACATCCCCAGCACTTACTAGATTTTACTTTGAGACAGGGTCTCACTAAGTGGCTGAAGCTGACCTTGAATTTCTGATCCTCCTTCCTCAGCCTCCTGAGTTGCTGGGATTATAGGTGTGTTAAACTGCGCCTGGCTGAATATCGTTTTTTAAAAATAGACTTTATTTCTTTTGGTTTGTAGCAAAAGCAAAATATTTTTCAAAGGCATTTTGGAGAAATCTTATTTTTTCACTCATTATAAGGAATGAGGTTTTAGTTTGGTTTAAACTTAGTAATATCCTCATCCCAGCCAGTGTGGGTTGCTAAATATCATACTTAGTGGCTGGGTGGGGGGAGGTGAAATAGAAGAGTTTGCCTTCTTTAAAATGGAAAATTATTGGATATAGTGAAGATTAAATGACTATATAGTTATATAATATCAGCTGAAATATTCAGGCTATCCTGAAAATATAGGGTGGAAAATTAATAGGTGAAACTATATGTGGTCAGTTACTTGAGACTCAGGTAACTCTAAACTACTTAAATTCACTGGTCAGTATGTTGATTTCCAAAATGTTGGAATTTTTTAAATTTTAAAATAACCAGCTCTACTTCTGTATTTTAGGTTCAAGGTAAGGACCCATCAGTAGAAGTCACACAGGACCTCATTGATGAATCAGAAGAAGAACGATTTGAAGAAATGCCTGAAACCAGTCATCTAATTGACCTGCCCACGTGTGAACTCAACAAACTTGAAGAGATTGCTGACTTGGTTACCTCAGTTCTCTCCTCCCCTATCCGTAGGGAAAAGCTGGCTCTGGCCTTGGAAAATGAAGGCTATATTAAAAAACTACTGCAGCTATTTCAAGCTTGTGAGAACCTAGAAAACACTGAAGGCTTACATCATTTGTATGAAATTATTAGAGGAATCTTATTCCTAAATAAGGCAACTCTTTTTGAGGTGATGTTTTCTGATGAGTGTATCATGGATGTTGTGGGATGCCTTGAATATGATCCTGCTTTGGCTCAGCCAAAAAGACATAGAGAATTCTTGACCAAAACTGCAAAGTTTAAAGAAGTTATACCAATTACAGACTCTGAACTAAGGCAAAAAATACATCAGACTTACAGGGTACAGTATATTCAGGACATCATTTTGCCTACACCATCGGTTTTTGAAGAGAATTTTCTTTCTACTCTCACATCTTTTATTTTCTTCAACAAAGTTGAGATAGTCAGCATGTTGCAGGTAAGTAAAGTAATTCTTCACGATTTTGTTTTGAGATATGAAGTTCCTTCATATGTCAAGCTGGTATTCAAAAATACTACTTTGTTTACTTTAAATGTTCTATCAAGCATAGAAAATTTGACTTTATCTTGTTTTGTGAAGGAGAAAAGTTTTTTTTAACACAAATTGTATTTGTAAGTATTCTCTGATGCAGCTGTTTTTAAGTTTTTTGTATTTTTAAAATGGAGTTACGTTATGAATAACCCTGTTTTTATAGTACTGGGGATTGAACCCAGGGGCACTTTACACTGAGCTGCATCCTCAGTCTTTTTATTATTTTTATTTTGAGAAAAGATCTTCTAAGTTAGTTGCCTAGCCTGGCTTTGAAGTTGCAATCCTCCTGCTTCAGCCTCCCAATAGCTAGGATTAAAGGCATGTCCCACCACACCTTGCACATGCTAGGCAAACACTCTACCACTGAAGCAGCATCTCTCACCTTATGCAACTATTTTTTTTAACATATTTTATTTCATTTTGAAAAACACAATTATTATTGGGGTCTGTATGAGTATTTGTACTGAAAATGTCCCAGATAACTTAAATGTGCAACCAACATTGAAAAATAGTAGTTTTTAGGAAATGATACTTAGGTTATTGACTTTGCAAAGTTGATTTTATTCTTTGTTCTTCAGTTGTAATTAAGAGTTTATCATGTTACTCCTTTACATCCTCATTATATAGTAATCATGCATTTGAAGATTTTTACACTGTGATATTAGAGTATATCCAATTTCCTACATAATTATCATTGTTATTTCCTTAACAGTCACTAAGTTTATTGAGCAGCTGTTATATACTTAGTGTAGTGGTTCTCCAAATGTGGTCTGTGAACTCTGGAGGTCCCTGAAACCCTTTCAAAGGAGTTCATGAGGCTTTCCCTTTTTCAGCTTCATGTCAGTGTGTTATTTTTTCATAAACTAAAGCCAAATCAGTGTTTCACAACAGATTGAATGCAGAGAAGAATCTAGTTATCTTTTAAGCCAGACATTAAAGAGATTTGCAAAAAAAATGTGAAAGGGCCATTCTCCTTTCTAAACTTTAAAAATATAGAATCATATAGTTGTTTCTTACTTAAAATATTTACTTGAGGGATTGGGGTTGTAGCTCAGTGGTAGAGCACTTGCCTCACATGTGTTGGTCACTGAATTTTATCCTCAGTACCGCATAAATGAATAAAATAAAGGTATTATGTCCATCTACAACTAAAAATTTTAAAAATATATATAATTACTTGGACACATAATAGCTTATTAAAAATTAATACTTTCAAAGGCCTCCTTTGTTACTTTAATTGTGATAAATATCAATAAATGTAGCCCACATAATAAAACTCTTTGGGGCTCTCCATATTTTTTTAGAGTTTAAAGGAATCCTGAGACCAAATCATTGAGAATCTCTGACTTTGTACTTAGCTATGTGACTTTATTTTTATGATATTTCCATCCAATATTCACCTTTATATTGTTACTTTATATTTTGTATAGGATATCTGTCTCCAAATCATTGTTACAAATAATGAGTTTTTTGTTACTCTCCTGCAGTAAGTGGGAGGGAGTTTAAACTTACACATCAGATTCTTTTTATAATATATAAAACCTGTTTTGTTTTGTTTTGTAAACCATACTATACAATTCAGGATGTTGTTTTTCTTATAGGCAAAATGATTACAGTCTCAGGAGATGGGAGTCACTATCTATAGTTGATGTAAAGAACCTATTGTCAGGATCTTTAAATTAGCTTTCCAGTTAACTGGTTTTGATTTCAGAAGGGTTTCCAAACCCTTAACAATGAATCATCAAATGCTCTTTTATACTTTAAAAAATTTGTGCAAACTAATCTATAAATATTTGTGATACATATTTGTCATATATTTTATAACAGGTTTGTGAAATTTATAATATAAATCAACTGTAACTTTAAAAAAAGGAAAGTTTTGCCAGGTACCATGGCACATACATGTAGTCCCAGGTACTCAGGAGACAAAAGCAGGAAGATCACAAGTTTGAGATTGGCCTCAGAAATTTAGTGAGTTCCTTTCTCATGAAAAGTTTCGGGAGTGTAGCTCAGTGGCAGGACACTTCTGTGTTTAGTCCCCAAAATGAAGTTCAGTACTACAAAAATGAAGATAAATTTGGCCTGGCACGGTGGCACACATCTGTAATCCCAGTGGCTCAGTAGGCTAAGGCCACAGAACCATGAATTCGAAGCCAGACTCATCAATGGCAAGGTGCTTAGCAACTCAGTGAGACACTGTTTCTAAATGAAATAGAAAATAGGGCTGGGGGTGTGGCTCATTGATTGAATGTTTCTGGTATTCAATCCCCAGTTCCAAAATAAATAAATAAATAGAATTTAAAGAATAAAAAAAAAAAAGAAAGAAAGTCTAACTCACTTCTGGTTCGTGAGATTCATTTTCCGAAATGTCCAAGTACTATGAACAAACTACCTGTTTGACTTTATTCTATGACACTTCCAACCAATATTTATCTTTCTGTTACTGTAACTTTATTTTTAGTGTAGAATATATTCCAGATGATTCTTTTACAAACTGTAAGTTTTTCAAACTGAAATTTCTCATTATTCTTCTATAATGAGTGTGAAGAAGGTTAAACATGCACATAATTAAGTTTCTTTTATAATACATAGGAGCTTGGGTTTTTTATCTAATATTTACAAATCAGTTATGTCTCATGTGCTAGCAGTAGTGCTGAATTCTACTTAAAAAGATGTATGAGAAGGAAAGTAATTAAGATTGTGGTTCATAGCCTCTACTCATTGCCTAAAGCCCAACTTGGGTTTCTTTATAGAAGTTTCTAGTTAGGTATTAGGTGTTTCCAGGTTTTCTAGTATGCATATCTGTGGTTTCTTAAGTGAGTATTAGTCTGCTGTTGCATGAATTAAATAAGGCAAGTGAAAATGTATGCATTTTATCTAACTGGAACAAAATAAGGAAGTACAAAGGTTCATATAAATAATAGCTTAAATTAGGTTAATTAACTGAGAAATTACATTAAAGTACATAATGGCTCTAGTATACATGTGGACATTCTCTTAAATCGTCAAGATAGGAGCATTAAATTTTAGTTCATCTAAATTTTCTAGCTAATTATAGATCAAAACCCCTGTTGCAGAATGAATAAATATGCTTCAAACTTTCCTCAACTCCATGATACTGAGGATTGAGCTCTACCACTGAGCTATCCCCCCAGCCTTTTTATTTCATTTTAAGATTGAATTAATAAACTGCAAGTTTTTCTGGCCTTAAATTTGTTATTCCCCTGCCTTAGCCTTCTGAGTATCTGGTATTACAAGTGTGGACCGCCCTGCTGTGCTCAAAAAGTATTTTATAAATTAAGTCCCTAAAAGCCAATAAAATGAGGTTATTTCCTTACAAATAACTACAGAATGACATCCTTCTCACAACAATAAGTTTTAATTTCTCCCCTTACTGGAAATTGATAGAGTTGATCTAAAGCCAACTTGTCAGTTGTTTGTTTCCTTAACATGTTTGAATATAATATTTTCACTATTCCATAGGTAAAAGTTGAGCATACCACAAACCCAGCAGTATTAGTGGTTTAGTTCTTTTTTTTTCCCCCACATATTCTGTAGTTAATAAGGTTATAGCAATGATTTCAGTTACTAATTAAATACATAAAATCTTGAAATAACTTTAAAAGAAAAAAGCCCTTTTGCTATGATATGATTCTTTTGTGTTTAAGACTTTTTTTGGATTCAGGTATAAGACTGAACATAGTAAATTATCTTACTAGATTTGGTCCTTTCTAGCTTGAGTTTTGCTTTGGTTCCATTCTTAAGTCTGAACTTAGGAACCTATCCAAAGTTTATTTGCTAGGTGTGACTTTATTTTGTCTTATTATTTGGGAGACCTGAATTCTGAATTTACTAGCTAGCCTCAGATAAGTCCACTCATGGAACTAGGCAATCTTTGAATGATGACACAAAGCTTGATCTAAATTTAAATTTATTTATGTGATTCTAAAAATGATGAACAGGTTCTCTTTCATTTTGTCTGTTTTTACATGATTGCAAAGAAGTTTGATTTAATCTTTTAGAAATAGTTTTTGTTTGTTTGTTTGTTTGTTTGTTTTTAATACCTGGGATTGAATTGAGAGGCACTCAACCACTGAGCCATATCCCCAGCCCTATTTTGTATTTTATTAGAGACAGGATCTCACTGAGTTACTTAGTGTCTCACTTTTGCTGAGGCTGGCTTGGAACTCAGGATTCTCCCGTCTTAGCCTCCTGAACCACAGGTGTCCGCCACCACACCAGCTTCTAGTAACCCCTTTTTCCCACAAGGTATTTTGTTTTCTTTTGTGTTATTTTGATTTTTTTGTGGGATTTGTTATTGTTGTTTTGTTTTTACTATACTAGAATTGAACCCTGGGCCCATTACCACTGAGCTATACTCCAGCCCTCTTTATTTTTTCATTTTGAAAGAAGATACTGGCTGATTTGCTTAGACTGGCCTGTATGCCTCCAGTCTCAGCGTCCTGACACCTATAGTTACAGGTATTCACCACCACACCTGGCCTCCCACAAGGTTTTGTTGTGTTACCTGGAAAAGCAGCCACATACAATTTATCCTACACAATTGTGTTTTTTTAAATAAAAGTTCTTAAAACCAAGTAGAAAAGAAAAACTAAAAGATCTAAAGAGATTAGTTTAATTAGTTTGAGAAGCAAGTTCGAAAAAAGCATTCCAACTATGTGATGGGCTTTTAAGCTGTCTTAATTTACTTTCTTAATTTACATTGGAACAGTTTATTTGTGTATCTTAAGAAATATTATCAATAATAATAATGCTGAAGTCCATAGAAAATATACTAGGAATCAGAAAGCATTCTTCTGATGAATTATAACACTTCAGATTGCTTCTATGTATAATATTTTATGTAGTTCCAGCTGTCAGCTCACAAGTACTGAGTCATATAAGAAGAATTTAATTGGCAAATTGCATTTATCAAGAAGTTGGAACTTTTTTCCTATGAAAATATTCTGACAGAGTTAATCTTCAGACAGGAAAGGATGAAGATTTAATTGGGAGAGATATAGGAAGATAAGAATTTATTAAAGGTGCGAATGGAGGTAAATATGTACTTATTTATTAAAATAAAAATATTGAGACCAGCCAGGCTCAGTGGTGCACACCTGTAATACCAGGACTTGAGAGGCTTAGGCAGGAGGATCACAAGTTTGAAGTGAGCCCTAGCAATTTAGGGAGACCTTAGGCAACTTGGTGAGAATCTTTATGGAAAGAAAAAATAAAAAGGACTGGGGATGTAGTTCCCTGCTAAAGTATTCCCCCCATCCCCCAAAAGAAACGTTGAGACCAGAATTATTTGGGGAAAAAGTGATTGAGGAATAAATGATTGCATACACATTTGAGTTCCCTCAGAAGATGGATGATGCAGGCCACAGTACATAAGGAATCAGTGAAGTCAGTAAGGAAGGAAACATGGTTTTGAGTTAGGCAAATGAAGGAGTTTTGTCTTCAAATAGCACTCATTGATGGTTAGTGGGTGAGCATATTATACTTTCTAGGATTGTAGCTAGTGATTTCCTCCACCTGGTGCTGGGGATTGAACTCAGAACTTCACACATGCAAGGCAAAAACTCTACCACTGGACTATATACATCCCCAGTCTCCCAGTGATTTTCATTGATGAAAGCCAGTGTATTTCAAGAAAGGATTTAAGTGATGAAGTGCATCCTTAKGTATTTTTTTATTTTACTGTCAGCTCTACGTATATTATTGCTACAAACATTTGTAAAACATGCTATTTAATTAAAACTAATGGAAACTATTTGAGAAGGAATTCTGAAAATAAAACTAAAGCTTAAACGCATCAATTTCAGTTATATTCTTTAGCAGTTTTTGGTATAAATCTCCCAAAGCAAATTTCTTTTTTTTCTCTCTTTTTTGGCAATACTGGGGACTGAACAAGGGGCACTTCACCACTGAGCCATATTCCCAGTCTTTTTTTTTTTTTTCTTATTTTGAGCTAGGGTCTCATTAAACTGCTGAGACTGGCCTCAAACTTGCCGTCCTCCTGCCTCAGCTTCCCAAATAACTGGGATTACAGGTGTGCACCATAGCACCTAGGTGAATTTCAATCTTGACAACATTTTTTTTCTTTATAATTTTGTGTTCTGCTTATATTAGAAAATATAGTGAAGCAAAAATAAAAAACACAATCCATCACCAAAATACAACCACAAGTAACGTTTTAATCATAACCCTCTGAACTTTAGACACATTTAAATTTAAAAAAATACATACTCTGCTATATGTTTTGTTTTTCCTTTTAAGCAGTACCTAGGGAAATTAATATTTACCGGTCTTAATACTTCAGAGTCATCAAATGAAGTTACTGTAGTGGTTTTTCATAAAATTATATTTTTGGAGACCACAACAACATGTAAGACTCTGCTCCAGTTATCTGTAGACTGTTATATACTGAGTTCTTATGTTTTAAATTACTTTGTAATTTACCTGCTTTTGGGGGGTGAGATACTGGGGATTGAACCCAGGAGTACTTTACCACTTATTMCTTTTTATTCTTTTGTTATTTTGACACAGGGTCTTATTAAATTGCTAAGGGTGGCCTTGAACTTGAGATCCTCCTGCTTCGTCCTCCTGAATCACTGGGATTATAGGCATACCCCACTGTGGCTGAATTGTTGTTTTCTCAACATAGTCATACATGTACATAACCTTATTTGATCAGTTTCATTACCCAGAAATATTTTCCCTCCTCCCTTCTTCCCTCCACCTGGTCCCTTTCTTGTATTCTACTGGTCTCCTTTCTGTTTTCATGAGATTCCCCCTTCCCCTTATTTCTTTTTCTTTTTTATTCTCTAGCATCCACATATCACATTTTCTTTATCCATTTATCTGTTTGATGAACATCTAGGCTGATTCCATAATTTGACTATTGTGACTTGCTGCTATACAYATGGGTGCACCCATGTATTGCTATGTATGCTGACTTTATGAATTGTGTTTACATAAAATAAAGAGTAAGTAGGCCCTGAAAGGGTACTGGAAAAAGTATCAAAGTGAATTGCTGCCACATCTTTTAGACATCTCTTTTTGTTTAGATTTCTTTACAGTCAGGCACAGTGGTAATGCCTGTAATCCCAGCAATTCCAAAGACTAAAGCAGGAGACTCATGAATTCATAATCAGCCTCAACAACTTACCAAGGGTCTAAGCAACTTAGCAAGACACTGTCTCTAAATAAAATACATATACAAGGGCTAGGGATGTGACTCAGTGGTTAAGTACCCCTGGGTTCAATCCTTGGTACAAAAAAAAAAAGTCCTTTATAAGTGAGATTTCTAGCTAAATTAATATATTATTGAATGTATAACTAGAAGTAAATGATATACTCAGTTTATGGGAAATTATAAATATATTCTGAAATTTTATGTTTCAGGAATGAAAATGCTATTTACCTCTCATCAATTTTTATTATAGTTTGTGTAAATCATAATTGAACATAACATACTTCTGTTAATATTTCATAGTAATTGTTTTCATGCAGGAAGATGAGAAGTTTTTGTCTGAAGTTTTTGCACAATTAACAGATGAGGCTACAGATGATGATAAAAGGCGTGAATTGGTAAGCTGTTCTTGAAATTTACATTCTTGAAGAGGACTTTCCCTTTTGGCATGCATAGCTTTTATCTTGAATTTGTTAAGAGTTTTGTTTTTTTTTTTAACAATAAGTATGGAATGAAAGATATATATTTAGGTTGAACTATATAATGATCATTCAAAGTTTCTAAAGTTTGCTTGTATATGTTTTAGAAAACTTGAGATGTTCCAATGTGTTTTTCCCCAGTAAGGGAATTTGAGTGTCTCATAAATCCCAAAATCAGATAAGTGTCTTATGTCAGAACTATAAACCCACACACATTTTTGTTTTTACAGATATTTACATAGGGAAATTCTTTGCTTTTTAAACAAGAGGTATAAGGATGCTTCTTGAAATAAGGGAATCATGGTTTGTCTTTTTGGAAATATTTTTCATCTTCTAATGTATTTACAAACTTTATTTTTAGATATAAAACATGTTTGGGAAAAAAGAATAGTGACTGCTGATTACCAGATGTTTGCCCCTTTTTCAAATATAATCAGATTCCAGGATTTTTAGGAAATCATGAAAAATTGATGACTTAAAGCTATGAGTCATCTTTGTAGTTATATTTATTACAAGCCTATTTAGGTTTCTCATTTGTAAAATCAGTGTTTTAAAACAGAATCTCTGATATCCTTTCTACTTGTAAAATTATATCATGTTTTTGAGGGCTCATTGGGAACTCAGCTATAGTTTATTATAGGATGGTCTCTATTCAAATGGCTTATTTAGCACTCTTATACTATAATGTGTTTAGAAAGAATAGTGTTTGAGAAATAATACTTTTAATGGGGGTGCTAGTTTTTAGTATCTCTTTTAATGTAGGTTTTGGGAAGCCAGGATACTATGAAAAGACAAGATCCTTCAGAAGGGTGAATTTCATTCTGTGGCAGATCACATTATAGTGTGCCCAAGTTTATTTTTATGTTTATCATCTTCTCACTATAATTTTTAACATTACAGGTTAATTTTTTCAAGGAATTTTGTGCATTTTCTCAAACATTACAACCTCAAAACAGGGATGCATTTTTCAAAACTTTGGCAAAATTGGGAATTCTTCCTGCTCTTGAAATTGTAATGGTAATTATATGGTTTCTTTTCATGCTTTTGGAATTGTGAATTTGAAATTGATTTATATTATGGATGGGAAAGAATTTATTGTAGTACAATATATTAGATTCTTTATTTTTTGACACCTCAAGAGAGTTTGGTAAGACATATTGAATTCTTTAATTTAGTTTTATTCCCCTGAAAATGATTACCGTAACAATGATGTCAGCTCTCAGATTTTTACTTAATTTATAATACCAGTGTTATAATTTGCATATGATACATCTCTGAGTGTAGAAAAATATCTCATGTTTTTGAAAGATCATTATATTTTCTTTAACAAGTATGTTTCATAGATGCCAATAAAATATTTTTTTTCTTTTTTACTTTTTTTTTTTCTTTAATATCTTTTTTTTTAGACCAGTGAATGGAATGAGGGCAGACTGGACCCAGGAGTCTAGTATTACAATATGGGTTCAGGGCATGGTTCTCAAAATTTAGTTACGAGTTTATCCATTGGCATTTACTGAATGAAAAATTAACATGAGACTTCTTTTTTGGTGGTATAGGTATTGAATCCAGGGCTTTGTATATACCAGGCAAGTGCTCTACAACTAAGCCCAGCCCTTTTTATTTTTTATTTTGAGGCAGGGTCTTGTTAAGTTGCCCAGGGCGGTATCAAATGTGATTCTCCTGCCTCTGCCTCCCAGATATCTGGGATTATATGTGAGCCCTACTGTGCCTGACTAAAATGAGAAAAATTTATTCATTTTGATTTGATAAATAATCCATTATATATTAACATAAACTTAAAATTTTCCCAAATCAAAAATCATTTAGTGAAGAGCATGGCATCATTTGCCCATTTTTTGTTTGTTTTGCTGATCCCTTTAATGTCTTCATAGTATATAACTAGATTCTCATAGCTACTGCTATGTTTAACTTGTTCTTAGATCTATCACATCATGTAGCCTCTGGAAAATCCCACTGTATTTGTGATTGAGAATGAAAAAGAAAATATCTATTACTTAATACTATGAAAATAGTTTTAATCTGTACACTTCCTGAAAAAAAGAGTATTAGACCCCTAATAGGATTCCCTGAACCACACTTTGAGAACTGCAGGGACTGTTTCCACAGTCACTGCCTTGGAAAACTAAGTTATGGCAAAGGGACAAAAGTGCCSAAGAAGTGTTTTCAAAAGCATCATCTATTAGGCAAGTCAAGGAAGATGGAGTCAGTTGCTGAAGTGTAATCCTATTATGTCTAGAACAAAAGACAGAATTCTGAAAGGCTTTGATGGAAGCATATTCAAATTTTTTAGTATACTTTTAATAAATCCCCTTTCTGAATTTTTGGCAGCTTTATTTGAGGGGGGAGGGGTTCCCTGGAATTGAACTCAGGGGTACTCAGCCACTGAGCCACATCCCTAGCCCTATTTTGTGTTTAATTTAGAGACAGGATTTCACTGAGTTGCTTAGCACCTCACTTTTGCTGAGGCTGGCTCTGAACTCTGAATCCTCCTGCCTCAGCCTCCTGACTACTGGGATTACAGGTGTGTGCCACCATTCCCAGCTTTGGTAGCATTTTTAAAGCGTTGCTTTATAATCTTATGCTGATTCTTATATTTAAGATCTGTGAATATTTCTTTGTGATGGTAAAAACCAGCAACAACTAATCAGAGAGCTGCCCCAGAATTGTAATATTTATAAAAAGAAAGAAAATGATGGAGAAATTGTATATTTTGATTGCAGTTCAATGTCTTAATTCAACTTTAGAGGTAATACATGGGTTTAGTGGGGGAAAGGTAAATGCAAGAATAAATGTTGTTAACAGTCTCTAAATAACCTAGCTTTCCTTTTATTAGGGCATGGATGATTTGCAAGTCAGATCAGCTGCTACAGATATATTTTCTTATCTAGTAGAGTTTAGTCCATCTATGGTTCGAGAATTTGTAATGCAAGAAGCCCAGCAGAGTGATGATGTAAGTAATAATTCTGGGGTTCTATGTGAATTGTTTATTCTATGTGAATAGTGTTAATAAACTATTGTGAGAAAAAGCATAATTTTAGGGAGGAAGACAGCGTCTCATTGGGGGGTTCTTTTGGCCAGAGGAATCCTAGACACCCTAAATCTTAATATCTCAGATAATTAACAAATAATAAAACACACTCAGAAATATATTTACAAAACCAAAGCCCCTGGTAGATCTAGTCCACAAGGGTGCTTGAACTAGAGGAAGACAAAATGGCTCCAGCGTTTATTTAAGGGGGTAGGTACATCAAAGGCAGGGGTAAGGTTTCAGGGGCGGAGTCTTGCTTTGTGATGTCCTGCAGTCTGCAGGTTGATTGACATCTTTGCAGGTCACACCCATCTCAGGTGCTCTGTGGGCTCTTAGGCAGAACTTGAGGGGGAAATTCACCTGCATCAGGTGGTGTATCCCTGTGGGGAGTGCCACAGCCAGACTTATCCCCTCACAAGGCTATTTACTATGTCCACACACAGCCCAAAGCTCATGACACATAACTGTAATCTTAAATTTTCAAAAATAATAGATCTCTGATCAGTCGTGACTGGCAAATTCAGAATATGTTGCAGTTAGTTTGTTTATTGCAAAGAAAAACCAGATATTTAACAAACCAGTATTAGCATAAATTATAATCAACCCTCCCACCTCATGTCTCTGTTTAATGTTAATCTTTTCTTCCTGCTCTTCCTCCCTGCTCTGTTCTTAGTTGCTCTCATTATATCAAAGAAGACATTTGGTATTTGTTTTTTAGGGATTGGCTAGCTTCACTAAGCATAATCTGCTCTAGTGCCATCCATTTCCCTGCAAATTCCATGTGGTGCTTATACCTTTGTCAGGGAGAGAGCTCTTATAGAAGATTTTTTTTAAGCAGTTCTTTTATCTCCTAAAAGCTGTAGCTCTCTATAGTTGTTTCTATTAGTTTCACTATGAAATATATAAATTGTCTTTTTCTCTTTACAAGTTAACAAACTATGGGGCTTTCAGTGAACACAGTTCCTTCAATAAATGATCTATACCTTAAGCAGTCTTTCTTTGCCACTGTAGTTTTTTATTATTATTAGTTATTGATGGACCCTTATTTATTTATTTATTTGTTTATTTATATGTGTTGCTGAGAATCGAACCCAGTGCCTCACACATGCTAGCCAAGCACTATACCACTGAGCCACAACCCTGCCCTTGGATTTAGGTATAACTTAAATCCATTATTTGTGATAATAATTTATATGGGTGATGATAATTTATATGGGTGTGTTTATATAAGAGGATTACATATAATAGAGCAGATTATTTGAGGTATTAATTAATGGTTGAGTCCCAAGTTGTATACTTTTTTTAGTTTTGCACACTTTTTTAAATTAATTTTTTAAAATTTATGTGACAGTGGAATGCATTGCAATTCATATTACACATATAGAGCACAATTTTTTATATCTCTGATTGTATACAAAGTATATTCACACCAATTTGTGTCTTCATACATGTACTTTGGATAATGATGACCATTGCATTCCACCATAATTTCTAACCCCATGCCCCCTCCMTTCCCCTCCAACCCCTCTTCCCTATCTATAGTTTGTCTATTCCTCCCATGCTCCTGTTCCCTATCCTATAAATCAGCCTCCTTATATCAGAGAAAATATTCGTTGATTGTTTTTTTGGGATTGGCTAACTTCACTTTGCATTATCCCCTCCAACTCCAACTATTTACTTGCAGATGCCATGATTTTATTCTCTTTTATTGCTGAGTAATATTCCATTGTATATAAATGCCACATATTTTTATCCATTCATCTACTGAAGGGCATCTGGGTTGGTTCCACAGTTTAGCTATTGTGAATTGTGCTGCTATAAACATTGATGTGGCTATGTCCCTGTAGTATGCTGTTTTTAAGTCCTTTGGGTATAGACTGAGGAGAGGGATAGCTGGGTCAAATGGTGGTTCCATTCCCAGTTTTCCAAGAAATCTCCATACTGCTTTCCATATTGGCTGCACTAATTTGCAATCCAACCAGCAGTGTATGAGTGTATCTTTTCCCCCACATCTTCACCAACACTCATTGTTGTTTTGTACATATTTATGGGGTCTTTCTGTCTCAATATGTGTAAACATTTATCAATTTGTGTATGTGTGTGTAGTAGGGGGAATCAAGCCCAATTCCTTGCTCACACTAGGCAAATGGTTTACCCCACTGAGTAACATCCCCAGCCCTGTGTAATATTTACATCAAGGTAAACACATTTGCCGTCTCAAACATTTATCATTTCTTTATAGTGCATAGCTCTGTGAAATTTATTTTGTAATTCTTCTTTGAAGAAATAGCAGCACATATTATTATGTATATTATATAACATTTGATAATAAACAACTCCATTTTTGTTATTTTAGAGTGTATATGTACCTATTAAAAATCATTTTTTAGGCCTGCTCTCTTTTCCATCTACTTCATCAAACTTTCATTTACTAGTGACTTTTAATCTCCCTAACCTCCTTTATTTTATGGCCTTAAAATAACTAGTGTTAACTTCCTTTATATCTCATTTTCATTTTCTCTATACCTGTACATATTTACATAAACATATTCAAACACAGATTTAATGTGTCATAAGGGGGTATGTGTCAATAGTCCCAGCTCCTTGGGAGGCTTAGACAGGAGGATTGCCTGAGCCCTGGAGTTGAAGACCAGCCTGGATAAGAATGCCAAGATCCTGTCTCTTTGAAAAAAAAAAAAAAAAACTCTGACTACAAAACTATATGCTATGTTAGGAAGGGACCATCCCCATACATTTTTTTTTTTGATTGCATCATTTCCTCTTGTGCTTGATTTATCTTATTTAGTAGGCCGTACCATATATTTATAAATATAGCCTGGGTATATGACAAGCTGTGCCATCTGGGTTTTGTAACTTCTCTTTGTAGTGTTTGAACAACAGCAAAATAGCCTAATAATGCATTTCTCAGAACATGTTCCTCAAATCCACTGAGCTAATGTCAAAACATTTTTTGACATACCAATTACTTTTTGTCCTGTTATGCTTAGAATTTCTACTTTTTTATCTATAGAATGCAAAGATATTTTGTATTGCCAGTTGCTTTCTGACTCTTAAATTAAAGCTAAAATAGCAAATCTACTTAATATTAGATAATTATATAACAGTGTTCATCCACTCATCTCCTAAAAGAGTTACATTACTAGGTTATACTCCTTGTCTGTCATTTTTGTTTGTTTTGCTGAGTGGTTTTCAGATTTTCTGTGTTTTAATATAACACAATGTGTGATCTACTTGCTTAGTCAACCTCTAAATTTATGCCTGAGGCTGAAATCTAGAATGAGAATCTAATGTAGAACCTCTAGTGAACAATATTCACTATATTGTGCTTTTTATTTTCCTATAAGCTGGGGCATATTCTTTTTTTTTTTTTTCTTAATTTCTTTCTTTTGGAGTGATATTTTTTCAGTCTAGTGTTTTTAGAATTTTGAAAAACACTAGGAAGAAAAAAGTTTAAAGAAACTCTTGTGTTTGTTGTTTTTTCTTTATATGATTCTGATATTGTTCTTTCAGTTGGTGTATTTGTCTTACATCCAAACAGGGGTTTAATGGAAACGTTTTCTTTCAGGATATTCTTCTTATTAATGTAGTAATTGAACAGATGATCTGTGATACTGATCCTGAGTTAGGAGGTGCAGTTCAGTTAATGGGACTTCTTCGTACTCTAATTGATCCAGAGAACATGCTGGCTACAACTAATGTAAGAAATCACCCTGATATTAAAAATTTGGACATGGGCAGTTTCACCTGGCTTTGCAATGAGATTTTGACAAATAGTAAATACCTTCCTTTGTATATGTAGTATTCAAGAAGCAGTGGTATTCTTGTAGCAATTCAGTTGCATCATATACGAGTTTATAATTATTAAAATCTTGATAATCTGTTAACATCATAAAAATTCATACATGGCATTATGAATATCATTGAAACAACTAAACTGCTTACTATAAAGTGATAAAGGGTGAATTTTACATAGTTTTTATCATAAAAGAAGAATGTATTCTTAAGGATCTCTTTTTTCTCTTTAATTTTGGCAGTACTAAAGGATTGAACCCAGCTACATCCCCAGCCCTTTTTACTTTTATTTTCCCTTGAAATTAGAGAATACGTACATTATTTTTAAATCTTTCCTAGTTTGTGGGCCCAATTGTGTGAAAAGTAATGGCAAAAAGTCAAGATATTATTTTCTAAATTGTGAACTATTAAAATTTAAAGAATAATTATTATTTTCATATTTTTGCATATTGGCTTAATAAATTAATTCAGCAGTTTTTCAAATTTGGATAGGTATTGAAATCTAGGGCTCCTGATTTTAAGCACTTTACCAATCACATGGCACGTGTGTTCACGTCTGTGTTTTCCTTCTTTTTTATTTAAACCACAGATGTTCTACCACTGAGCTCCCAGTCCTTTTTGTTTTTTATTTTGAGATAGGGTCTTACTAAGTTACCAAGGCTGGCCTCAAATTTGTGATTTCCCCTGCCTTAGGCTCCCAACTTGCTGGGATTATTATTGTGGTAGCTCATACCAAACTTCTTTTTCTTTCTTTCTTTCTTTTGTTTGTTTGTTTGGTTTGGTTTTTTGTTTTTGTTTTCTTTTTTAAAGTGTTTTTGGTTTTTCTTTAGAAACAGATCTTTTTCTGCTTTTGAATTATATACTCTTTTAAAGATGAAAGAATTTTATACAACTAACCAAACATTGTTGGGCAAAGTGAGAATAGCATATACCTTAATAACCATGCTATTCATTTGTTTCTTTGTTACATTCTTGGGAAAAGAATCAGGAAGCTATACAATAAGAAACAAATGATCAGTAATAACTATTAAGATATATGCTGTTCTCATGTTTGGTTAGTTGGTTGTATTTTTTACCTCACAGTTACTTCGAGTTTATGTGTGGCGAGAACACTTTAAAGTCTAATTTTAGCAACTTCAGGTATGGAATACGTTGCTGTTAATTGTAATTACCTTATTGTATGGAAGATTGATTGTTCTTACATTTCATATCACCAGCATCTTTGGAAAAAAAAAACAATTGTTCTGAAAAACATTTTAGTATTCTATCATACTTCCATTTTTATTTAATATATAATATAAAAGACTTGGTTTTTCATTTCTGCAAAAAAAATAGTATTAAAGTGACTATAACCATTTTTTGGTTCTTTCACATAATATAACTAGTTTTTGGTTCTTTTCACCTTATCTTAAAATGTGTTGTTAGTATATGACCTGCACTAATAATGCTTGAAGATGTTTTGTTAATTCTGTTTGTTTCAGAAAACTGAGAAAAGTGAATTTCTAAACTTCTTCTACAATCATTGTATGCATGTCCTAACAGCACCACTTTTAACTAATACTTCAGAAGACAAATGTGAAAAAGGTAGGTTCTCTTTTTATCTGCTTAGGACTTCTATTTTTAAATACGAGTGAAACAAATATTAAAACTAACATGCTGTTTACTTGGTGCTTTATGTGACAGGGAAATTACTACTGAAATATTTATACTGCAGTAAAATTCTTGATTTTCCTTGTTTCTGAGTGTCTGTGGAAGAGAATGATATAAAAAATGTGGCTACAAGTATTACACACTGATAAAGAGAGAGAGAGAGAGAGACAACGACACTTTTAAAAAAGGAGACTATCCCCAGAGTTAGAATAGATTTTCTGGAGAAAGTTAAGAGCAAACAGTGTATTACTACATTAGAAATCTGAGGATACTGCTGGGGACAGTGCCACAAGCCTGTAATTTCAGTGATGCAAGAGGCTGAGGCAGGAGGATCAAAAATTCAAGGTGGCTCTCAACATATTAGCAAATTCTCTTACAAAACAAAAAAATGTAAAGGAGCAAGTATGCTCAGTGATAGGGTATCCCTGGGTTTCATTCCCAGGATCAAAAAACAAAAACCTATGAGAAACATCAATTCCGAAGAACAATTTAACATTATGTGAAAGCCCTCTTATTTCACAATGTCAGGGTCAGAAATTGATTGAAGGGTTAAACAAAAAGTTGATTAAAGCAAATAATGATGTTTTCTAATTTTGTTTTGGTACCAGGGATGAACCCAGGGGCACTTTACCACTGAGCTACATCCCCAACCCTTTTTGTGAGACAAGATCTCACTAAGTTGCAGAGGCTGGCCACCAGCTTGTAATGCTCTCACTTCAGCCTCCTGAGTCATTTGGATTACTATCATTCACCACTGCACCTAGCTCTTCAAACATTTTCATTGAACCTGTAAATGTACACTCATATGCTAGTATATAGGGGCAAAGGGCTTTTCATGTGCATTTTTATTGTATTTCCTTATTATCTTCATTGCATAAATTATAACTATAATTTATAAGCTGCAAATTCTGGTTTCAGTTTATTAAAGGGGAGTGGAAACGTAAAGATATTTTTAAGGCAGTCTGAATACAGAATCCTATTACAGTTGTAAGTAGTATCTTCAGGTATATATTTAATTTGGCATCAGTTTTTAGTTGATCTCTACTATATCCAATTTAACTGTAGATATTCTAGCTATCTTAAATTTCATCAGCCTGCAGTATTTAGTTACTGATTGGTACCAGGGATTGAACCCAGAGGTGCTTAACCACTGAGCCACATCCCCAGCCATTTCTATTTTTTATTTTTAAATAGGCCCTAAAAACTTAGTGAAACCCTAAGTGGCTGAGCCTTCCTAGCTGCTAGGATTACAGGAGTATACCACTGAGCCCACCTATTTAAATCATATTATGATGTTGCCATAACACATGCTAGCTTAAACAAAGGACTTAGATAAGTATACAGCTGAATTTGTGAAATCAGAAATTAGCGGGGGCATCCAGACTCTGTGATAATGCCTATAATCCCAGCACCTTGGGAGGCTGAGGCAGGAGAATTGAAAGTTTGAGGCCAGCCTTAGCAACTTAGTGAGGCCCCATCTCAAAATTAAAAAAGGACTCAGGGATGTGTCTCAGTGATAAAGTGCCCCTGGGTTCAATCACCAGTACCAAAAAGAAGAAGAAGCAAGTATGTGGGGGCATACTAGAGTATTAGCAACTATCTTGAAAACATTGGAAATCAATTAAGAGAAAGTAAACAGAATTTTACAAAAAATAAAGTTGTAACAGAGACACACCCTATAATACCATAGATTTTTTTTCTGATTATATATCCCTATAAACATAGGGAATGTTTATGCATATACATGGTAGTATAAGAATGTTACTGCATTGTTTGTTGTAGGGAATTGAATAAAGCATGGTATATTCATATAATGGAATACCATACAGAGTTATAGTGATTGAAATGATTCTTGATGTATCAACTGAGTAGTTCTCAAAAATATGAACTGAATGGGTACAAAAACACATCACAGAAGATTTTACTATAGAATGATTCCATTTATGTAAATTATAATTACTCAATTTAATGTTCATTTTAAAGTAAAACACTTCTAGCATACAGAAGTAAATAGATAATAGAACAAATACTCATACTCTGTATTGGCTTTATAAAAAACTAACTTACTAAACTTCTTTTCAGATTTTTTTCAGTGAAAATATGCCCCTTCAAATTCTCATTCCCATTCTATCCCCACTCCCCCATTCCTCAAGGTATGCTGAATTTGGAGTTTATCACTTATATTTGCATATGCTTTATATATGTATAATAGAGCATTGTTTTTCATATTAAATTTATTCTGATTATACATATTAACCTGCATTCTTTCCTTTTATTTGATGCTATTTTTGAGATTTATTCATATTGATACCTTGAGTTCTTATTTATTTTTAAATAAATAGCATTTAAAAATCTTTGCACAGTATTCTCTTGTATGAATAGGCTATAATTTAGCTATTCCACTTCTCATATACCTTTGTGCCCAGCTTTTTGCTATTAAAAGAATGCTTCAGGGCTGGGGATGTGGCTCAGGCGGTAGCGCGCTTGCCTGGCATGCGTGCGGCCCGGGTTCGATCCTCAGCACCACATACAAGGATGTTGTGTCCGCCGAGAACTAAAAAATAAATATTAAAAATTCTCTCTCTCTCTCTCTCTCTCTCTAAAAAAAAAAAAAAAAAAAAAAAGAATGCTTCAGTATACATTCTTATACAGTGTAATTTGCTTTTCTGTGCAATGCGTTTCCCTATGCAGTGTACCTATATGTGCTTGATAAACTATATATGCCTGAAAAAATGTCCTGCTTTTATTTTTTAAAGCATATCATTAACATATGTTATTCCAGAGTTTTAAAATTTCTGTRTTTTCTGTTTTTAAATATGTGATCCAGAGGATATAACAATATCCTGATTGTTAATGATGAATGGGAGATAAAAGAAGATTTATCAGTCAGTCTTATCTTTGGTTATGGTCTCACTTATATTTTTATCAGAATACTTATCCTATGTTGTCTTTTAATAATTCCACATCTGCGCCCAATTTTTTGGAAGATTACAGATAGATGTATATAACTAACCAAGGCAGCCAGCTCTTAATGATCATTATGAAGGTTAAAGGTGATTGATTAAAGATGAGTTTTACTTATTATAAAGTATCTGAGAGGTATGAGATATTGTTACTGAAGTAGTTAATTGTAATTTTTTTTTTATTAGATAACATAGTTGGATCTAACAGAAACAACACAATTTGCCCTGGTAAGTATAAATTCATATTTTCTGAACTAATACAAATTCTAAGTTATTTTTTTCTCAGAGTATAAAGCATTTATATAAGGCTAAGGAAAGCATATTTTCAACATAAGATAAAATCAAATAATAGGTTCACTTTTTTCTTTATTATAAAGAAAGAAAATTTAATAAATTTCTTTTATTATAAAGAAGAAAATTTCTTTATAATAAAGAAGAAATTTCACCTGCTCAATACAAAATATGGAAAAAACAGTTGTTTTTTTCTGTAAATTTGCAGCGTATTTTCTGTTATGGTTTTGAAGAAGGCATTGTCTGTTCTTACTATCCTTGAACCTAAGTCTAAACATTGTTACTTCCACTTGGAACAGGTATAATAGGTGTGGGTCTTGTAATATTGAAACTATACTATGTGCACCTAGCTTTTCATCTTTTCTGCCAGGTTCATGAAATTTCCTGGAGAGATCTGGGTAAGGGGATTCATGCCTGTAATCTCAGCCACTCAGGAAGCCAAAACAAGAGTATCACAATTTCCATTTCAGCCTGGGCAATTTAGGGAGCCTCTGTCTCTAATAATAATGTAGAATGGGGTCTGAAGATATAGTTCAGTGGTAAAGTATTTGCTTAGCATACACGAGGTCCTGGATTCAATCCCCAACCAATTTCAAATAAGGAGACTATTTAGAAATTAAATTGGGTTAGACAGAGATATGTAGAGATATGAGTAATTTCACTTAATGTAGGAAAGGGTAAACAAGATATTTGTTAAACACCATGCATCCTTTTAAAAATACAATTGTAGATTTGAAAAATAAAAAATTATTTTTTAATGGTGAGGAATTTTGGCTGAGACATACTGGCTATTTATGTTGGGAATAAGTAAAACTTCTTACTTGCATTTAAAGTGGAAGCAATCTTTGAAATACCAGAATTATATTTTTTATGGCCATTTTGTTATGAAAAAGAATGCTGCTTTACTCCAAATGGGCTTATATTTCCACAGAGTATGTGCTTATCATCTTTTGTATTTAAAAAAAAATTATATTTGGAGATGTTGAATTTTTTTTCCTATTTTGTAAGGCTGTGATTCCACAGTTTTCTCACAGTTTAATATTTCCTATTTCGTTGCCTAAAACATTTGTAATATAGCATAATTATCCATATAAGTCCTTAATACACATTAAAATTTGATAGCAATTCATAATCATTTCTTGAATTTACAAATCAAAGCTTCTTGAGGGGGAAAAGCACACTAGTTTATTTCAGAGGGCCTCTCTTTATGGATACCATGAATTGATGCTTTTAAAATTAATAGTTTTTAATGTAATATTTTTTCACTTTATATTCAAATAGCCAAAAATATCTTTCCCTTAGATGTGTTCAAAGAAAGCATAGTTGGAGCTGCAGTGCAGCTCAATGGTAGAGTGCTTGCCTGATACGTATGAGGCACTAGGTTCAATCCTCAGCACCACATAAAAATAAATAAAAGAAAGGTATCGTCTATCTACAACTAAAAAATATTTTTTAAAAAGTATAGTAATTTTTCTTAAGAGATTTGTATTGAGCACTTTAGACAAAACATTTGAAGTAATTCCTCTTTAGTATGAATCCTTTTATAGCATCATTAATATTAATGATAATACTTACTAAGGAAGCATTACCAAGAAAACTCAGTGAAATGAAGGTTATATTACATTTGTAGATTCAGATTGTTTTCTTTCTGTTAGAAAATATCTACTTAGTAGGTAAAACTGATAATACTTTCAGATAGTCCGCCTAAGAAAAAGTATACATCTACAGCCTTCTTAATTGTCATAAAAACAGACAAGAAAATGGCTCTAATATATAGGATATAAGCTTATTTAGTCTATTATAATATTTTATTTTCATGAGATGACTTTCTTTTTTAGATAATTATCAAACAGCACAGCTACTTGCCTTAATTTTAGAGTTACTTACATTTTGTGTGGAACATCACACATACCATATAAAAAACTACATTATGAACAAGGACTTGCTAAGAAGAGTTTTGGTCTTGATGAATTCGAAGCACACTTTCCTGGCTTTGTGTAAGTAACAATTTAAATGGACATTCTGTAAAATGTTTTTTAAGAAACAACATTTTTGGTAGAGATGATAGCTAAATTACCATTTGAAGTTTTTTCTATTTATTTGTTGAGCAGTGTGTATGCTATTAATGAGATGATTGTAAGAAGTCCTGATCGTCTCTGTTCTTAAAGGGCCAGGGGAGTAGATTACAGTGGTTCCCAACTTGAATCAGGCACCCATTTAGCTTAATTTTTGTTGTTGTACAATACAATGCAATGACAGCATTTCACTAATAGAACCAGGCCTGCCATCTTTTCCCTTTGCTCATGAGACTATCATGTTCTACTAACTTAATCTCCCTAACCTCCTTTATTTTTATAATCTTAAAATAGCCAATGTTACTATTAATTGTATACATTTTTTCCTTTTCATTCCTTTCTCTGTGCTATACAAATTTACGTAAACATATTCACACACACAGGATTTTTTGTTTTTGTTTGTACAGAAACTGTATTATTAACTCATATTAACATACTTATTTGTCTGCCCCTCAGTCCTGGTACTCTAGGTTAGTTGATATAGTATAGATTAATTTTTTTCCTAAAGATAGCAGATCATTTCATAATCTCTTTCATAAACTGTTGTATCATTTTCTAGTGAATGGATTGCAAGATTATTTTTGCTTTTTTGCCACTCCAAACTACAGTTGTAAATAGCCTGAAATACTAATTTTTTTATATGTTGATTTATTTATTTATGTAAAATAGCTTCCCAGTAATAAGATTGCCAGGATAAAGTGCTTATATATACTTCATAGTTTTTAACATACATTTTTATAATTTTTTTTTTAATTTAACATATAGCTGCCAGATTTCTTTCCCCAAAACTTGAAGCATTTGACAATATCCCTGTACTCTTATTGCCTTTTTAAAATGGTATCAATCTGATGATAATGTGGTATTCCATTCTTCTTTTAATTTGCATTGTCCCAATTTTAGTACAATATTCATTTATCTCTGTTGTGAATTACATGTTATCTTTTTCTTAAGAGTTCGTTAACAAAAAATACAGTTTATTTCCTCCTGGTCTTTGGGGTTTTGTTTTGTTTTGTTGATAGTTTTTTGTTTTTGTCTTGTTCAGGAAGTCTTCTATGTTCTAAGTATTCTTTTCAATTTTCTTCTAATATTTTTATTCTTTAATTTTTTACGTGTGTGTGTGGTGTATAATGCATCTGAAAGATGGTTTTGGATATGGTTTGAAGTGATGGTCTAGATTTGTTCTTTTCTAGATGGATAAGACAACCATACCAACACCTTTATTAAATAAACCACATTTTCCCCACAAAATTAAAATACCACCTTTATTAAACAGTAAGTTAAACAGATACATTTATGTCTTAATTATGGACTGTCTATTCTTTAATCTCATCAGTTGAAATAATAGCAATGTTTATTGTGCCATTATAATATGTCTGTAGAGCTGGGCACAGTGGCACTCGCCTGTAAAAGGACTAGGGATTTAGTTCAGTGGTAAACTACCCAGGTTCCCAGTACTGGGAGGTTAAAATATTTCTATTTTAAGAACCTACTGAGTACCCTCTTTTTTCTTTTTCATAATTTTCTTTTGTTACTCTTAAGAATTTTTTCCTTAGCAGTATCTTAAAAATTGTTTTCTTCAGGGGCTGGGGATGTGACTCAGTGGTAGAGCACTCACCTTGCACGTGTGCAGCCCTGGGTTTGATCCTCAGCCCCACATAAAAATAAATAAATAAAATAAAGGTATTGTTTCCAACTACATCTAAAAAATAAATATTTAAAAAAATTATTTTCTTCAGTTCATCATGATTAGAATTACTCTATTTGAATTTTAATTTTAGAAGCATTAATGTATTCATAGTAGATTTTCCCATCTGTTTTTTGATAAATAGTACTTTTTGATGATTGTGCAGTACTCCCATTAACATGGTTATATTCTAATGGAATGAATTTCCAGTATTTAAATATGTTGCTTTAGAATTATCATTAAAAGTTGCATTGTAACTGTAGCTTTGCATGCATGTCATTTCACAGTAGTTTATGGATGCCTGATTGGTCACACCTTTGCCAGTTTTTCGGTTTTGGGTTTTTTTGTTTTGTTTTGTTTTTTCAATCCCAAATGAAATATTTTTTATCCTGCCACAAAAAGAGGTGATTTGTAAGTCTAGCACTTCTCCCCACATTTGTTTGGTGGTGTTCCAGTTAACATACACTTATACCTTATGTAACCTGTTTGTATTTTATTCTCAGATATTTGAGCTTCTTAGAGCAGGCACAACTGGATCATTTAACCAACTTCCGTTCTTGAACAGACAATTGATGTTATCTGTAGAATAAATTAAGAGGGAAAGGTTACAAAAAAGATTAAAAACACAATCCTTTGTGTTCCCTAAAAATTTTAGTAATGATATTGCTAAATTTATTTAGCTAGGAAAAGCTCGTTAAAAGAGAAATTTCTTTTTTAATATTTTAAAATATGAGAAGCTCATTGCTATTTTTTCTTTTATAAATATATTTTTATCTACCACACTACATGCTTTCCCAAGGAAAAATAGTTGTTATTTACAGTTGTTATTTACAGTTGGTAAATAAGGGAATGTTATTATAATGTGAAAGTAGTGGTAATTCACAGATGGTTTTTTCAAGGCAGGAAGAGCTAGAATCATGGGAGAGGAATTATAACCTTCATTGGAAAAGTTAAAAAATGAAACAAAAAGATTTTTTTTAGATATCCTCTATTGTCCTTTGGTGTATTTTCAGAAAATCTGGAAACATCTGCCTTCAGATTTCCTTCTCCCAGAAAGGCTATCTTGACTCTTGGCAGACTGTATACCAATCCTCTCCCGACCTTGGCCCCAATTCATACTGAACTATCTTTACTGTGTCTGCCAAGCACTGCTAAGTGTTATCATCATCGTCATTTATAGGTTTTTAATATTTTTTTCCTTCTCTTTGCCATGGAGCTGATCACCTAAGTGGATTATTTATCTCCCAGATACTTTTTCCTGTGATATTGTTAACTCTGGATATAAAGTTGTACCAGTTTTCACCTATCTTCCCTGAACTCTTTATTTTTCTCAAAAACCCAATTGTTTTAGTGCACAATTTTACTTTTTGTTTTAGAAGAATGTATATACTACTTTATGGCAAAACTACTTCTAAAATAATAAATTATAGTAAAATCACCAGCTTATTCCCTTGTTTATGTTTAATTAGGTGCTCTTCGCTTTATGAGACGGATAATTGGCCTTAAAGATGAATTTTACAATCGTTACATCACCAAGGGAAATCTTTTTGAGCCAGTTATAAATGCTCTTCTGGATAATGGAACCCGGTACAATCTGTTGAATTCAGCTGTTATTGAGTTGTTTGAATTTATAAGAGTGGTAAGTTTATATTAAAGAACTCTTAGTGATTATATGTAAAAGAATTAACTATTTGTGAAGAAGTAATTATATGTAAAAGTAAAATAATAATATGTAAACAAGTGATTTCTTCGTTCCCCTTTTTCTCCTAAAATTGTGATTCTAAGTGTCTTAGAACCTATTTCTAATAAACTAAAATTTTTTTAAAAATCCAGATACTATTATATTCTTATTTGCCATGTGGTTGTAGTTTAGTGTGTTTTGTTTTAGTTTTGGTGTGTGTGTGTGTGTGTGTGTGTGTGTGTGTGTGTTGCTGGGGATCAAATCCAGGTCCTAAAAGTGAAATTCAGTGTAAACTGTTTTTTGTTTCTGTGGTCCTGGGGATTGAACCTAGGGCCTTCTGCATGCACAGCAAGCATTCTACCAACTGAGCTATATATAGCCCCTCAATTACTTAATTTTGTCAGTTCCATTTTTACTGGCCAAATGTTTCAGGATCACATTTGGCATATATGAGCATTTCAATCATGCATACCATTCATGTGATTTAAGGTAGTTTTCTGTTACAGGGTAGTAATTTAAAAAAAAGATGGATAGATAAGATTGTGAAATAATTTGGTAGAAATTGATGCAAAATACATAAAGATATGATGAGATCTTATAATTTTTAAGTTGGAAAGACCAGAAAGACAAGGATTAGATGTTCTCCTTCAGTTACCTTACTTTGCAGATGAGGAAATTAAGATAACCAAAGTGATCAAGAGCTTTCATTTGATTAGTAGCACAATCAGTATTTGAAACTATGTCTCGTCTCAGTTTCAAGCAACAAAAGATATGTCATAAAAAGATCTTGGAGAGAGCTATATTTGAACTATAGGAATAAGATAGTACAACAAATTAATCAGTACAACAAATTTACCTCTACTGCACATATACACACAGAAATTATTCCATCAAGGAAATGACTACATTGTTGGAAAGAACAATTTTTAAAAAATGAAAGCTAGAAATTTACTCTCTAGTTGTTTCTTAATAAATATGATTTCCACTGATTACATGTTATTCTCATATGAAGATTATTTGGCTAACTAGATTGTTTTTCTGAGAGTATTAGTAAAGAAGGAATGCAGTTAACTGGCTCACTAGTATCTGAACCCAGGTTCATAGCATATTTTTTAAGGAATCAGAGCTTTTTATATATTTGTGTACTTTTTTATTAACATGTATTTTTTCCTAATACTGACAAAATGATACGTTGGTTCACAATCCCATCCCTGGTATCATAATTGAATTTACATTTTTCTGAAAGTAAATTTGAGTAATAAATATATTGAATTCCCAAAATTATTCTTTTGGTCCATATAAAATGGTATATACCAGGAATAAACAAGTAGAATTCCAGATATGTATTTCATTGGAACTATGTGTGTACTATTGTCAAAGGAATCTACTTTATTATTTAGATACAACATGCTATTTTGGTAAACAGAAGTCACTAAATTGATGTTACAATATGATTTTAACATCTGCCCTTTAGTAATAAGCCATGTGCTCTTAATCAGAACACCCAGCCTCTCTGTCTCATTTTGTGTTTTTAGAAAACAGTATAATAAAACGAAATAGAATCGTGAGAATCAAGTGAAATTGTATGTGAAAGTGCTTTTTAAACTGTGAAGTGCTACAAAATGCAAAAAATCAAAGATGTAAATTAAATCCATTTACTTTTTATATCTCCAAAAAGGGCTCCAGTGAATTGCTTCTCCTTTTTCCCAAGTTTTTGTGGAGTCCTGGTTCATGTATAAAGAAACTGGGACATTTATTTTTGGAAAGTGATTTTGAAAAACGTTTTTTAAATCAGCTTTGGAACTACATTTTTTAAAATTTTTTCTTCTAACATTGTATTGTATTTAAAATGTAAATTTTGTGCTTATACAGGAAGATATCAAGTCTCTGACTGCACATATAGTTGAAAACTTTTATAAAGCACTTGAATCGATTGAATATGTTCAGACATTCAAAGGATTGAAGACTAAATATGAACAAGAAAAAGACAGACAAAATCAGAAACTGAACAGGTATTGCTGGAGTATATTGTACTTATAGCTTACAGAATTGAATCCAAACATTTCCATAGTTTAGATTTTTTTATTTGAAATTTACCAAGGAATCTTCTGTCACTAGATAGCACAAATAATCTAGTAACCTTACCCCAAATAATCTAGTAACCCCAAATCCATTATATGATGACTTGCTACCCTGTATGGTAACTCAAGATGAATTTTTAGTTGAGTTTATAATATTTGAAAATATTTTGGAGAATTGGACTATATTTTGTACCATGACTGAGGTGATTTTGATATAATTTTCACACAGTTAAAATTACCTTAGTTTCTCTTGGAACTAATGTAGTCATGAATTTTAAATCATTACTCAATATTTGTGATATATTTCTTACAGTGTACCATCTATATTGCGTAGTAACAGATTTCGCAGAGATGCAAAAGCCTTGGAAGAGGATGAAGAAATGTGGTTTAATGAAGATGAAGAGGACGAAGGAAAAGCAGTTGTGGCACCAGTTGAAAAATCTAAGCCAGAAGATGATTTTCCAGATAGTTATGAAAAATTTATGGACACTAAAAAAGGTATTAACATTCTGAAATTTAAAAAAATTGTGCCTCCTTTTGTTTAGTACAGAAATTTATCTGTATGGGCATTCTTTTCATGTTTAATTTTTTTTTTTTCATGTTTGGTTTTTATTTAGAAATTTTATCATCTACTAACACTTTTCCTTCTATGGAGTCTGGGCTTTATTCTACACTAAAATTCTGCTAGGGATTTTTATTACTAGATTATTTGAGGATTTCTGTTATTGAATAATAAAAAATATATAGATTCAAAGAAATATTCTGTAGTACTTTACCTTCACTTTTTAAAGCTTAGAAAACTGAGCTCAAAGAAATAACTTTGTTCTAAATTTTAAAGCTTTTATAAAACTTGCCTAAAGAAAATAATTAAGAAAAAAAGTTAAATTTCCCCCGGCATTCAGATATGTCTAACTTGTTTTATAAAACTAAGATCTTATTACTTATCTTTTAATTTTATGTCCTGAGGAGTTGGCGTTTTTGGAATACTGTCTTGCAAATATCATTTAAATGCTTAATAAAAATTTATTTCCTGGACTTATAAGGAATATGTACCTTTTGATAGATTCTTCTTAATCCTTATAGGTACCACTCTTACTACTGTTGAAAGAAGCAGTAAGGCCATACTTTAAGTATTGCAGCCAGTGTTGAGTGCCATGCTGTTAAGAATCACAGAGGGGCTGGGGATGTGGCTCAAGCGGTAGTGCGCTCTCCTGGCATGCGTGCGGCCCGGGTTCGATCCTCAGCACCACATACAAACAAGATGTTGTGTACACCAAAAACTGAAAAATAAATATTGAAATTCTCTCTCTTCTCTTCTCTCTCTCTCTCTCTCTCTCTCTCTCTCTTAAAAAAAAAAAAAAGAATCACATACAGAAATAGAAGTAACTGGATATTAAAAGTAACTGGATATTATGCTTATGCCATAAAAGAAATATAAGGAAACTGGAATATTCAGGGAATGAGACACTGATAGGCTTGATCATAGATGTTTTAAGTATTAATTGTGGGGGAGGTTATTAGGTTTTAACAACGAATAAAGAAGTATAGAGTCAGTGAACAGAAGACAATAAAAGGAAGAGGCAGACAGTAGACAGTACATGAATCTTTTCAAGAAAACAGTACAACATTGTAGAACTCTAGCATAGAATGGCTGATTCTCATGATTCTTTTTTATTTTATTTTTATGTGGTGCTGAGGATTGAACCCAGCTCCCCGCACATGCCAGGCGAACTCGTTACCGCTTGAGCCACATCCCCAGCCCTCTTATATGATTCTTAATGCTCTGATGCTCACAAAATTAGATTTCTGGGACTCCAGGTTATACAGATATCACCATACACATGCTATCCTCTTAGAAAGCAAAGGCGGTGTTTTATTTTGATGTTTTAATTGTTATTTTCAAATGATTTGATTTAGCATTATTTATTGATATAGGCTCAAATTTTTACTTTTGCTTTTAGCAAAAGAAAGTGAAGATAAGGAAAACCTTCCCAAAAGGACATCTTCTGGTGGCTTCAAATTTACTTTCTCCCACTCTTCGAGTGCTGCTAATGGAACAAACAGTACAAACAGTAAATCTGTTGTGGCTCAGACACCACCAGCAAGTTCTAATGGGTCTTCTTCCAAAACTACAAACTTGACTACGTCAGTAACAGCCACCAAGGTATGTGAATTAGCACTACACAAAAACAAACTTTGCCTTTTCCATCTGTAAAATTGTTTCATGTTTACTGAAGAAAATTTGTAAAATCAGAGCAGTTTCAAAGAGGAAAGAAGTTAAACCATCAGAACATGATAGTTAATATTTATTTTTCTTCAGATCTGAGTTTATCTGACACAAAATTGAAATTTATAGGAATAAACACATTGTGTGTCTGCTTCTATTATAAGAATGTTGTGTTATTAAAATGTTATTGACTGTAGAATCTCATTTAGCTATATCATAATATATGTAAGCATCCTTCCCCATCCCTTCCCATACCTAATTGTTTTTTTTAGTACTAAGTTGATTCTGATATTTCACTGATTTGACTACTAGTTGTTGTATTTTACATTATTTTATTGAATAGTTAAAGTACTAGAATGTTTTCACACATATTGTCAAATTCATCTCCAAAGGTCTGTATCAGTTTATTTTCCCATCAGCAGTATATGGGTGTGCCTGAATCACTGCAGCTTTGTCAGTGTTGTTATAATTATTCTTAATCTTTTCCAGTTAGGTAGAGTATGTAATATCTCTTTTCCAATTATGTGTCACTTATTATAGTAGTAAGGTTGAATTCTCTCCTTTGTGTGTTGTCTGTTCATAGTGCCATTTAAAAATTGGTTTATATTTTTCTTAATGTAAATGAATCTTTGGTTACGAATATATCTGTAATTCTCACAGCAATTTGTACTTCCCATTGCTTATTTTTACAAATTTAAATTTTATATCAAACTTTTATTCTATTGTTTATTTAGATTTTTTCAATGCGTGAAACCATTCTTTCACAAAAAAGAGTGACTTAAAAATTAAAATGCATTAGAATATAGGACATCAGTTGGTGTGTGTGTGTATATATATAGATAGATAGATAGATAGATAGATAGATAGATAGATAGACAGACAGACAAAACAAGGAAAATGTTATAGTAGTACAAAACTTAAGGAATACATCTTGTTTTGAACAGGAAATATACTTTGAGTTTACTATTTAGCAGAAATGTAGAATAACTTTTTTTATTGGTGCATTGTAGTTCCACATAACTTATTATGCCATGTTTGTACATGCACATAATTTAATGAATCATTCAGTATTGTATTGAGGTAGGCTTTTGATTAAATATAACATAAGTAGCATTTTCAATGAGATTCTCTTTGAAACATTCTGGTTTTTTTAACTAGAAATTTTTAAAATTAATTTTCACTCTTCAGTAAGTATATCGAATATATTGATATTAGTATATCAAGACATTAAGAATACCTCCCATGGAATTTTACTGTGTGGTTCAAATCTTGGCTCTGCTTCTTTCTAGCTATTTGACCTTGAATAAGTTATTTATTTCTCCAGGCCTTAGTTATCTGATTTTATATGGCGATATATCAGCACTTGCTTTATAAGGCTTGTTAAGAAATTTAAATTATTTAGTAAATGTATCGTGCTTAGATTACTGCTTAGCACTTTCTTTTTTAAATCAACATAAAACATGTACTTATTTTCAAAAGTCAAATACTGGTCACATTTATATTTTTTTAAAAAATCAGTACTATGTTTCTGCAATATATATATATATATATATATAAAATTTTTTTTTTCTTTTTGGTACTAGGAATTGAACCCCCGGGGCTTTCAAATACTGAGCCACATCCCCTTCCCTTTGTTATTTTTTATTTTGAAGCAAGCCCTCACTGAGTTGCTGAGCTAGCTTTTTGAACTTGTGATCCTCCAGCCTCAGCCTCCCAACTTGCTGTGCACCACAGCAGCTGGTGCTTTATATTCTTAATAGCTGTTTTTACTTTTGTAAGTAATATGTTATTGCTGCTGTGTTGTTTATCAAGTTCAGACATAATTTGTTAATTCCTTATTATGGAATGAATATTTAGCTTTCTTATCTTCACATTTGAATACTCCTTACAGCATCCGCACTTTATTTCTCTCTTTATCGTAATTTTTTTAAAAAGTGTTTGATAAGTTTGTGATAAAATATTGTTTATTTTATACTCTTCTGTAGTGTTAGTCTTTATAAATTTTCACTTTTTCTAGAGTAAACATCAGTACTGCCTTTTCTTTTGTTAAAATAGTTATGTGTCCATTGCTAATTCTGAAGGACTTTTCTTAGGTTATTTTCGTGCATTTTTCTCTTGAAATCTTTCATTCTGTGCTCTCAAAACTTGCTACACAGCCATTGTCTTGAGGCTTCCTTTTTTTGCCTTTACTCTAAGACTTTATTTTTGCTTCTCTCCTGTCTTATAATATTATTTGTTTCCCAAATCCTATGTCTCTGTTTTTTTCTTGATTTCCTRTCTCATTTTGATGGAGTATATCTTCTTTTTTAAACTCTTTCTTATTAACAATTTAACTGAATGCAAAACCAGATTGGCAATAATTTTTCTAAAAAAAAATTGAAGCTATTGCTGTCCAGAGTTTAACAGTCATTCTTCCATTGAACAGTCATGTCCTTCTATTTTGGAACATTTTCTGCTGTTTCACTATAAGGTATTATTTGGATGGAGTCTTCTGGATTTGTCCTACTAATCATTTCTGTGTTTTCCTGTCCCTTTTTTTTTTTTTTTTTTTTGGTGATATTTCCTTATCCCTCCAGACAATTTTTTCAATTAAGTGCAAGCACAAATGTGTTTTCCAACCTTTTGTCACTAACAACAGATTATAAAATATAATCTGTGTCTTTTGGGATAAAAACAGTGATTGTTCTTAAAACATGTTAATTGCCCCATTACAGTAGATTTTCACAAAATTAAGATAGGAGTTCATAGAACTAAAGCACTAATTTAATTTGTTCACAATACTCTTGAAAAACTGTGGCCACATTCCTTAAAGATGTCAGGTTCTTTATCCCAGTGGCCTTTAGTTTAGCTATTTCATCACCAGTGTCAATTGATACAGTTGAAGATGGGCAAGATGTTAGGTCCTAATGAAATTTTTTTAAAATATTTTTTTTAGCTGTAGACACTTTAGTTTTACATGGCGCTGAGGATGAACCCAGTGCCTCACACATGCAAGGCAAGCGCTTTACCACTGACCTATAGCACCAGCTCCCCTAATGAAATTTTTTAAAAGATACTTTTTAAAGATTTGAATGCTATAAAGACACAGAGCACTTTGTTATATACACATTCTCTGAGGAAAAAACTTAGTAGCTTCTTAATGTGATTAGTGAATGCTAAAATAGATACTTCTTTTGCTACAGATTCACAGAAAAAAAAAATCAACCCTTCATTTTTTTTTCATGTAAAGTTTCACTTGATCTTTCCATGTGAAAATATTAGAAAAACTCCTGCATAGACTTCAAAAGGATGAATATACCTTAATCTATAATTAAACCCGATTAATGGACATTAAAGTTATTTCCTGCTCTTTGCAGTTAGAAGCACTGCAACAATGTGACCTACAGTCATCATTTCACATACATGTATTTTTCTACATAGAATGTGTTTATGATTCTGATAATTATTCCAAATGTAAAATAGGAATAAATGGATAATTTCTTAACCTGATATATACTTCCATTACTAAAAGCTAGTTTTGTACATAGGAAATACCAGAAGTATTCCCACTTAATCGGGAACATGACAAAATGCCACTAACACTGCTGTTGTTTGGTGTATTGATCAAGGCAGTTAGGTGAGATAAAAGTTGTTAATATCAAAAGGGAAATATAAAAACTATCGCTTTGATTTTTTGAAAATATTTCAAATCATGTGTTAGTAAGATATATCTTCTTTATTTCCTTCAGTGAAGGATGATTCTTGAATTCCATTTCAGATTTATTAATACTGAGTTATTAATATCATTAATGTTATTATATATTATACATACTAAATACTGTTGTTCTCTAATTACTGGATGTTGAAGCATACTTGCATACTTCAATTCCTCTAGTGATAATTTACTTAGATGATGGTTTGTTTCAGAAAAAAATTACATTGTCTCTTCATAATTTGTCTTGATTCCTTTTTTAACTTTTGTTTTGTATTTGATATTTTCTTTACATTTTTGGTGCTTCATATAAGTAACCGGATACGGTAGCATAAGTCCCAGCTACTTGGGAGGCTGAGACAGGAGACTTGCTTGAGTCCAGGAGTGTGAAGCCAACCTGGGCAACATAGCAAGACCTTGTCTCAGAAACAAAAAAAGAAAAAGATTTAACAAGTTGTCAATTCAGTAAAAGAAAGGATCGACAAATGATGTTATAAACTGGCTATCCACATGCAAAAAAGTTATAGTGGATCCCTAACTCACACCATGTACAAAACAACTCAAAATGAATAAAGAACTAAACATAGGAGTTAAAAACATAAAACCCTGAGGGAAAACACAGGTGTAAATGTTCATGACTTTGGATTAGGCAGGGATATCTTAGATATGAAATAAAAAGAAAAAATAAATAAATTGAATTTCATCAAAATTAAAAACTAATGTTTTTCAGAGAATACTACTATAAAGTGAAGACAACCTACAAAATGGGAGAAAATATTGCAAATCATATAAGGAATTGGTACCCAATACCTCAATGTAACAACCCAGTTTTGAGATGAACAAGTATTTGAATAGACATTTCTCCAAAGAAAATACATAAAATACATAAATATTTAGCATTATTAGCCTGCTAAGGAAATACAAAACTACAATAAAGTACCACTTCACACCCATTAGGATGATTGTAATTTTAACAAAAACTGGACAAAAGCAGTGTTGGCAAGGTTGCAAAGAAATTGTGACCCACTTGCTGATGGGAGGTAAAAATGCAGCAGCTTCAGAGTACAGTCTGGTAGTTCCCCAGAAAATTAAACACACAAGTTAGCCATGTGATTCCAGCAATTCCACATCCCAGTATATATTCAAGAAAACTGAAACATGTACATGAATGTTAATAGCAGCATTATTCAGAATAGCCAAAAAGTGTCCATCTGCTATGCTAATGACTAGTTTAATAAAATGTGGTATATCCAAATAATGGTTATTATTCAGATATGAAGAGGAATGATATGCTGATATATGCTACAATATAGATTAAACTTCGAAAACAAGCAAAGTAAACCAATCACAAAAGCCATACACCACAAATCCAATGGAAAAAAGACTCGGACAGACCCTGGAAAGTGACTGTTAATGCGGTTTGAGACTTTTAGGAATAGGGGAGGGTGATGGAATTAGTAGTGATGGTGCATTAGTAATGATGGTTGTAATTTACTAAAATTGCTGAATTGTATACTTTAAAAGGGTGATTTTTATGATGTGGACTTAGAGCAGTACTTTGGGGAAGGTAGTTTAGTTTAACCACCCACTTAAATGGCTCCAATGGCTTGGGTAGGAACTAATTGTTACAGCATAGCTAGTCTACCACACCTGGGAAGTATAAGCTTCACTGAGGTGTTCTGAGCCTGAAAAAGAAAGTGGGGGGATGCCTGCTCAGTTTTGCAGAAAAGTTTATCCCATTTTCATCCTGGCATCTTACCTTTGCCCTTTACTTTGCCTTAAGTCCGAAAGTTCTTTATAGAGTTATTTTCTTTTATTTTATTATTTTATTTTTTTATTTCTTTTATTTCTCTCTTTTATAGAGTCTATTTTCTTTATAAATGGTGGTGATGGAAGCCAACACAGATTTCGTGGCTATCAGAGGGACAGAATCAATGACCTGTTTGTCTGTTTTACTTGTCTTCCCTCTTTTCCCCCACTGTTTTTGTACCTTTGCTGTTGAGTCTTCTGAAGTTCTCTAAGAAAAATCTCATTCTCATTTCTTTATCTCATTATAGATACTTAGTTCTGGTTTCTATTAGAAGAGTTACCTTGTCTCTGATTTTTCTTGTCCAAATATTCCTTAGCTTTCCTATGCTATTTTTCCCTCTTCCATTTCTTTGAGGGTAAATTTCTTTCACTTCAGTGAAGTTTTAGAAGGCAGAAGTAAATGCATTTATCGATCTTCCAACAGCTATGGTCAATGTAAGTTCTCAGATGTAATGATTTTTAAAAATTAGTGCTAAGAAAAAACTAGATGAATTTATAGTGCAGAAATCCTTAATAACTTCACATCTTATCCATATAATATTCCACATACAAAAATGGTTTTCAACTTTATTAATAAGAAAAATCATTATAAAAAATGAAATTTTTAAGAGAATACTCCTTGAAAACAATCCAAACGTCAACAGAAAATGTTTGATGGGTGAGTCCATACAATGGAATACAAAAGTTTTAAAAGAATAAAATGGAATTTATGTGCTAACATCAGAACCTTTCTACCATGTATTTTAAGTGGAACATGATTGTGGGTACCTGTACTTATTAACAACTTGATATTAAAACAATAAATTTCTGGATGTATATATTAAAAATATGGAATCTATCCAACTTCATAGGGTACATCTGGATTATATAAGCCTTTTGACTTCCAACATTTCACTTTTTGTATTCTTATTTTTATTGTAAACATGATTTTTAAATGTATGTTTTTGGTATGTATATGCATTGAAATATGAATAAAATTCAAAATTAAATTGTTTTGGTGGGCTTTTCAGACAATTTATTAATCTTAAGCCAAAAAATATCATTTAGGTGTTAACCATTTGAGACTGAAATATTTGTACATTATGGTACATCTTCTTAAGCATAATTAAAATGTATTGGTAACTCACGGTCATCTTTGTGAATATCACTGATGCCTTTTTATGCTGTAGTTCTTCTTTCTTCTCTCCCAATTTGTGTGACTTATAAACCAAATAACAGAAATAATGATAAATGGTAGCTAAGAGCACTTACCGAACACTACATACCAAGTGCTTTATATCTTGTGTTTTCAATCTAATTTTCAACTAGTTCAGTAAGATCTAAATACTTCTACTATGCAAATTTTACAGATGAAGAAAACTGAATATAAAAATATTAAATCATTTGCCTAGGTTCCTGCAGATATATAGTAAAAACATTACAATTTGAACTCAAGACTACAATCAATGTATTAATATGCTGCCTCTTGCTTACTGGAACTTCAGACCCATCTATGACTTTGCTGAGAAAGAAGTAGGATTCTCACAAATATATTTAGTTCACAGACATATAATAACTATTCTAGGTGCTCAAAGCCCTTTTTTGATGAACAGTAATGTTTTACTTATGTTCTGAAAAAATGTTAACACCAGATGCCTATATTCTTAGGTATGAAGGATGAGTTATACTTCAGCTGTATTTGTTCATCCACTACAGGTCTGAAGGGTTTGAACTAAATAATGTTTACACTTAGCCCTCTTAACCTGTGGAACATTTGTTAAGTTTCATGGAGTTAGTTCAAAGTAATTGCAATTCTGTGCACTGCTACAATTTTCTGGAGAGTACAGAGCTTCAATTGGACTTTAAAAGGAGTCCGTTGTTCATAAAAGGTCAAAACCTTGAATTGCCTCATCCTTATTTTCAGTTATTAGCTTTTAGTAACCAGGTGATGTTACTGGTTAGTGATGTCTTCAGCCTTTCAAACTATTCTTCAAAAGCAGAATGAAAACAATGTGTACTAAGTAATAAAATACACACATGAACAGACTACAGACTTCATTTCCCCACAGTGAAGTTTTGCTGAATTGAATTGAGTTCTGAGGTTTCATTAAAAATCTAAGAAATAGTAGAAAAGCTGAGGATTACTGAGTATGCTACCAATTAGAACTCAGTAAATGTTCATGATTTCAGGCAGTTCCTTTCTTAAATTCCAATGTGTTAATATCAGATATGTCTGATTTAGAAAAATAGTTTCTAATATCTTTTAGTGAAAACATTTGTACTAATAATTGTACCAATAAGTTTTTTTTTTTAAGTTACCTGTTTAAAACATTTTTTTAATTCTTCAATAGGGAAGTTTGGTTGGCTTAGTGGATTATCCAGATGATGAAGAGGAAGATGAAGAAGAAGAAACATCCCCCAGGAAAAGACCTCGTCTTGGCTCATAAAATATTTACTGGGGGACTCCCAACGTGTGGTCTTCTTACTAAAATGCTGCAACTGTTCAATGAGTGTAAAAATCTGAATCAGAAAGCTTTCTCACTTGAACTTATAAATATACAAGGAGTAGCAGAAGATCCTCAGTATATCATCTAGGAGAGTTTAGTTCTGTAAAAAAAAAGAAAAAAAGGAAAAAAAAAAAAAGGATTCCCAGGAACTTGATTGCTTGCTAGGATTAAGGGGTTTGCCTTTTCAGGCTGTAAAAAATGGGGAAAAAAAAGAATTTTTTTTTAATTTAAAAAAAAAAAAAAAAAGGCTAGTTACCAGAACCTGGGAGATAGTTTCTCAGCAAGGAAAGTCTCAGGTTTGGGGGGGAGAAAAGGTTGGTAAAATAATATTAATGCAGGGTTGCTCTGGGGGGTATCCAGTCTAGAAAAACGTTACAAAACTTCAGTTGCAAACCCAATAACATTACTTGTATAATGGTGCTGGCCATGTTATTGTTTTAATCAGTTGCCTCTTTTTAAAAAAAAAAAATATGGAAAACAAATAGAACTATCAAAAAAAAGAAGAAGAAGAAGAAGTAGTAGTCAAGCTTTTGGGACCATTTCTTTGAAGACTTCACAGAAATTCAGCCTTTTGAGTAGTTGGAGGGAGATACACCCTGTATTACAGCACACGTTAAATTTTCTACACCAAGAATTTTCAGTATGTATTTTGACRAAAATAAGCTGCATTCAAAATGGATAGTTTTGTTAATAAAATTTTTAAATCAGCACTTTTGAGATAATAGTAGCCATGAAAACAGTTAGTATTCCATAATGATCCTCTTCAGAATCTTGGAAATGGACAGAACAGAATGTTTTTCAGTAACCTACCAGTACAATCCTTTGTAGAAGATAAATTCTGAAGTCCCTTTTTGCTTTGTTAGTAAAAAGTGTTTATCTTCAGAGCTGCAGGCAAGTATTAAAGCATAATTTATAAAGACTAATTTGAAAAAAAAAAACAGTGCTGAATTGTAGTATTTAATATCTAGAAGCCATTTTGATCCAAGGAGTTAAGTGTCAAGTCACATGCAGTACAGGAAACTTTCCCACAAGCAGACAAGGGTGTATGTAATACAAACAGCTGCTTTTTTAAAAGACTAAAAGCACATTCCATGTACGTAAAGGAATTTAAAATAACAAATTGAGGCAAACAGTTACAATGTTTTTATTTTTAGAACAGCAGTTAACTGTAAATATTTTAATGTTAGTTTGCTCATCTATGATCTGAGATCATGCTGAGATGAGAAAAATGTTCCCAAACTACAATTTAATGCATTTGGAAAAAAAAAATCTAAAAATAGTAATTCCAGCTACAGTCTTTAGATCACCTTTGTAATGTGTTAATGGGTCCATTTTTTCCTGGAATAGCTTAAACTGAAGCAGTTTCCCCTGTTTTGGAGATTTTGTAGTTAATTTTAATTTTGGCTATTATTTGGAAAAGATGGGCTGTCTGTGTAGATATGAAGTATAGTTTTTCCATAAAACAGATGTTTATTTTGTATTAAAAATACCACTGTACTTGTTTTACACCATTTGTATACATGTGGTGATATTAATGCTGAACTGTAAAATTCAGGAATTAAAATGTGACCCTGTAATTCCATGATTGATGCTTGTGTTTGTTTTATGGTAAATATAAATTAACTCCATTTTAAATTATCTTTTAAAAGCCAATAAAATTATCATCCATAAATTTATTATAAGCCACTAGATCATACAACAGTCTGAATGAAAGCCCTAAACCAATAAAGGTCAACTGCACTTTTAACATCACTGATTACTTATAGAAAGTGAGCCTTGGGCAAGTAGAATCTCAGCACCAAAGATCACAGCAAAAAGCTATTCTTACTTCTTTGATTACAGGTATACATACAATAAAAACCTTACAATTTCATAACACAAGTGAGGTTATTTTCAACCAAGATCATATGAACACTCTTTCAAGCAAGTTTTATCAAGCTTCTTAGTTTTTATTAAATTCCTTCTTATAATCTAAAAGCAGCCCAAACCTAAAATATTTCCCTATTTATTCTTGACTCAGTTTTTTAAGTTCCAGTAGGAAGTTATCTTTGTATCTTATGAATACTTAAATTTTCCTTTTTAAAAAACCGACTTGAGTCTCAAACTTTTAAATCAACTTCATCATGGAAACCTTATAGCAGAAATGTGAATGTTTTCTTGAAATACAGGATGAGTTTTCATGGTACATATCTTATCCACATGAGAATAAAACATACCTTGATAGCTCAACTATAGGAGTCCACATTCACTGCCACCTTAAATAACTGCCCTCAGGCAGATCCTTATTTTCACTCATTGAAGCAAACCAGAGCCCACATTTGTATACCTTAGGTCCTCTTAAAATATCTGTAAATGTAGTGAATATAAAAGCTATTTTTAATTAAAAATTATATGAAATTATTCTGTTTTAAGCACTAGGTTTCTTCATCCATCTAGTGATAAAAATGTAGGGCTGGGGCTGTAGCTCATTGGTAGAGCGCCCGCCTCACACGTGTGGGGCACTGGGTTCAATCTTAAGCACCACATAAAAAGTAAATATATTGTGTCCAACTAAAAAAATATTTTTAAATTAAAAAATGTTAACCAATGTAGAATACTTTTTTGCAGTTTGGAGTTTAAATTCGATAAATAAAATGAGCACTACTTTTTTTTTTTTTTTAATATCACCCAACTGTAATTGGAAACTTAAAAGGGATACCAAAGCTGGGCATAGTAGTACACATCTGCAGTCCCAGCAACTCAGGGGGCTGAGACAGGAGGATCACAAGTTCAAGGCCAGCCCCACGAACTTCATGAAACCTTGTCTCAAATACAAAAAGGGTTGGGATTATGGGTCACTGGTAAAGTGCTCCTGAGTTTGATCCCTAGTACCACAAAAAAACATACAGATACCTGTATTTCGTTTAACAGACTACAGAAAACTTTTCTAGGGTCTTTTTTTAAAAAACCTACACCAGGTGGTAGCACTTCCCTCAACAAGCTCAGGCAGTTGTTCCCTTTGTTTCATAGTAGCTTTTCAAAAAAGTGTGGCTGAGTATTAACATTTATCACCTCAATTTTCCAAGTCCTAGTTATCCTGCTTATTCAAGTGTACATGGTAAATATTCAGTTAAGACTGCCCAAGGTATCTTCACTTTTCATTGGATTGCTTCCCACCAGGTAAACCCATAACTATTTTAGCCCAACCACTAGTTTACATATAACTACCATGCATCTTTAAAAAATGAAAATAATTTTGATAATGTAACCTCCCATTGCTCCATATTATAAAATTAAAATCCTCACATTCCCTTCAAGGCCCTACATAATATGAATAATCCCCCACCTATTTCCAATTTCATATGCTAACCCTCTCCACTCATTCTATATATATTCCAGTTCTTCAGTGTGTGCTTTATTTTTTTCCTGCTGAAGGACCTGAGTTATTCCTTCCCTCCATGCAATTACCCTTCCAATCAGCTTAAACATTACATGCTCAAGGAAGTTTAACCAACGTGCTTTATGGCACTCTTCACTATTCCTTTTTAATTTTTTAAACTATTATTTTTAAAAATCTTTGGTGCTACTAGAGATTGAACCCAGGGGTGCTCTGGCACTGAGCTTCATCCCTACCCTTTTAATTTTTGAGACAGGGTCTAGCTTAGTTGCCTAGGCTGGCCTCAAACTAACAATTATCCTGCCTGAGCCTCCCAAGTAGCTGGTATTACAGGTGTGTGTCACCCAGCTTGCACTCTTCCTTTCTAACACTTTGCTCTTTGGGCATTCTTCACAAACTCCAGGAAAACAGAGATCCCTTTAACCTACTTATAGGTGTCCAAGTCAGAATGAATGAACGCACTATCAACTAGTTTCTATACCCTCTAAGAGAAAACATTACCCCAAAATTTGTATTAAATTAATTAGTACAAGTAGCTGCCTTATGCACTGTCCTTCACTTCAAATGTTTACTATGATGAGCTTATATTTGCATTTAGAAAAGCAGGTATTTACTTAAAACTAACAGTCTTGGTTTAAGGATTAATAATTTATTTTTAAGAAAATTTGGACTTTTGCTAATTTTTAATTATTACTTATTAATAACTTCTTCTTTAAGTTTCTCTGCAAGCAATCGCCTCTTTAGTAGTGTTTGTTTCTCCTCTGCTGTCATTTCTGGTTTCTCTGTCATTTCCTTTAAAAAAAGAAAAAAAGAAAAGAGAAAAGAAAAGAAAGAAAAGAAAAAATTGGCTACAATATAAAATGGGTTCATTTGTATTTGTCTAAAATTCCCAACATATAGCCTCAAAAAAAAACAAAAGACTAAGGACTTTGGGGGGCGGGGGGTGGACAATAAAGTAGTTTCCTTAAATCTTTTTGTAAAAATCTCTTAAAGTCTCTTAGAGGTGGTGGCTCAGATATTGACAGGACATTTCAAACATTTCAGATGGCTTAGGTAAGACAGACCACTGACCCCTTATGAACTCAGAGCAAGGCAAGTAAAAAAAAAAAAAAAGAAAGAAAGAAAGAAAAAAAGAAACTGCTGTTATTTCTACCTCACAAAATCATCACAACTCACTCTTCCTAGAAAAGATGTAGCCACTGTTGCACTAGCAGGGTGGTTAATATGAATGAACCTATAAGCAAAATTCATTAGAGGCTCTTCTGCACATAATCTGATTTTGAGAATTCTACCTCTAGATATAAAATTTAAGCATACTAAGGCTAACCGTACCTCTACCTCCCCCGCAGGCTTTCCTTTTTGCTCCGTATTTTGGACCTGCTTAGTCCTTATATCCTTTCTCATGGACATCAACTTGTCTCTCTTCTGCTTGAGATAGTGCTCTCGTTGCCGCAGCTCTTCTGTTCCAAGAGCTGACAAGTTCTGGGTCAAATAACAGAAGAAACTATATAAATTCACATCCACATAGCAAGTGGCAACAATACTTAATTAGATTCAATTAGAAGTTTGAGTTCAAGATCACAAGAAAAGTCTTCTGTGTGGCTGTTTACATTGTTCCTAGTACTTTGTCATTTAACACAAGTTATTAAAAACTGATATAGTGGGGCTGGAGTTGTGGCTCAAGTGGTAGAACGCTTGCCTAGCATGTATGAGGCACATGTATGAGGTTCGATTCTCAGCACCATATATAAATAAATGAATAAAACAAAGGTCCATCTATGTCTAAAAAATATTTTTTTAAAAAATTATGTAGTTTTTTACTTACTGCTATTGGTCCTTCAATGTTTGCATGTTCTAAGCCAGGAATCTTCAGGCTTTTTTGTGGGAGGGAGGAAGTTTCAGGCATCATTTCCACTTTTCTTGCCAAAGGTTGCACTGACGGATTAGCAAAATGCACTTTAACTTCTGGCAGCAATTAGACAATGATACCAGTTAGAAATATTAGAGAAATGTTAAGAACTAAGATAGAGTCACCAAAATGAGGTTACAATAATACTTGATTTTTCTTCATATTTATTCAACCAACACGTATTCATTGTCTACACTATACCAAGCATTTGGTGAGAATAATAAACATGGTCTCTGTTCATCCTTAAGAAACTTGGACCACAATTTCTATTACGAATAATGACATTTCAACAAATAACAAGCTCCTACTGATTTTTAGAGGTTTTTTTGGGAGGGGCGGGGGTAGCAGGAATTGAACACAGGGGCACTCGACCACTGAGCCACATCTCTAGCCCTATTTTGTATTTTATTTAGGGACAGGGTCTCACTGTGTTGCTTAGCGCCTCACTTTCTCTGAAGCTGGCTTTGAACTCGATCCTCCTGCCTTAGCCTCCCAAGTCGCCAGGATTACAGGCATGCACCACTGCGCCCAGCCAAGCTCCTACTGTTTGTACAGTACTATAGCTACAAAAAGATAACCCTTGTTTAAAAGATTAGAACCACTTTCTGATATAATAAAAGGGTGCTACATAATCCAAATAAATAGTACACAAATTCTTCAATATGTAATTGGCTTCCAATTTTTTCTTGTAGGTAAAATAAGTAACTGTACATTTATAGAAAATTACTATAGGGGCTGGAGTTGTGGCTCAGTGATGGAGCACTTGCTTAGCAAGTGTGAGGCAATGGATTCGATCCTCAGCACCATGTAAAAATCAATACATAAAATAAAGGTATTGTGTTCATCTACAACTTAAAAAAAAATTCAAAGAAAATTACTGTAAAGCTAAAGGATTTTTTACTTTACAACAGTAGCTACCAGTATTATCAATAACTTTGTATTTACATAGTGAAGATAACTATAAGCCTACAAATGCATTAAGAAAAATGTAAAGATTCTAAAACAAGCAGAAACTGGAAGCACATTTAAGTATTTAATACTTTTAGGTATTTGCTGACTGTTCCAAGAGACATCATTAACATTCTAATTGCTCCTCTGAGTCTTCTTTTTTTCTTTTTCCTAAATTTGAACCATTTTTTATTATAAGATTAGGTAATGTTGCCAGGTGTGGTGGCACATGCCTATAAATCCCAGTGGCTCAGGAAGCTGAGGGCAGGAGGATTTCGAGTTCAAAGCCAGCCTCAGCAAAAAGCAAAACAGTAAGCAACTCAGTGAGACCCTGTCTCTAAATAAAAATATAAAATAGGGCTGGGGATGTGGCTCAGTGGGCAAGAGCCCCTAAGTTCAATCCCTGGTACCCCCCCCCAAAAAAAGATTAGGTTATGCTTTTCAAAGAAAGATAAAACATTTTCAGTCTAAAGTACATGGGCTTCAAAACAAAGTAGAATGAGACAAGCAAAGATATTTAAATGATGCAAAGAACTAAAAACATGATGGAGAAACATGATACCTATGTCTCTAAATGATTAATAATCTTGCCAATGTAGAAAACCAGAAAAGGAACTTTGTCTATGCAAGAAACTTGACAAAGGACCACAACCCTAGCATAGAGTGAGTAAAATGACTGCAGTGCCAGGGCATTTGAAGTAAGAAAAGCTCTACAGGCCTTTGAATGGTAAAGTAAGTCTCCATGAAAGAGCTAACTATGACAGAAATTAATGAGTTTAAACAAGTTATAGATAATATGCAGATAGAGTTAAAAGTCTTTTTTACTAATGGTGATTAGCCATTAATAAAAAGAGGTAGACTTGGCCCCCAAATATGGAACCACAGAGCTAGATAAGGGATGGTTCACTTTCTAACTCAGAAACAGGGTCTGAGTTAGTTTCGGAGGCTAGCCTTGAACTTCTGATCCTCCCAAGTTCCTGGGATTACAGGAGTGTATCATTTGTGCCCAGCCAAAATTAGGTCTTCTTAATGGATTTCCATCACTTTGCATGAACTGATTCCCTGATGTTTGCTATGCCCATTTGAAAAATTTTTTTTTGAAAATTAAAGTCATTACTTTTAAAAACATCCACCATTTTCTCTGTGTCATTAATATGTATAACTGAGTTACATGTGGCTAGAGAAAAAGTTTTTTATAGCTTCACTTACTTAGTCAGATAAGGAACTCCACAGAACAAATTTATTCAAATTATGTCAGGTGCAAACATTAAATATAAGTATTTATACTTAGGTCTGTATAAAAACAAATTTGGGTCAGCAAATTAAAACAAAGCACAGACAATTTCTAAAAGTAGGAGTTTTTGAAGATATAATTCAAGTGAGGTTATTTCTACTTAACAAACTGCAGAATATGAAAAAAAGAAAAATGGTTCGATATGCTAGGAAGAAAGACAAAAAAAATAACTTTTATAATCTTGCTTGTTTCAAAGCCCCCTATTTGTTTTAAAAACTAAGATTATACTTCCTTAAAAATCAATGGGTACTCTGCCAGGTGAGGTGGTACATGCCAATAATCCCAGCTACTCAGGAGGCTGAGACAGGAGGATCACAAGTTTGAAACCAGCCTCAGCAACTTAATGAGACTCCATCTCAAAATAAAAAGAACTGAGGATGTAAAGCATCCCTCGATCAATTCCCAGTATCTAATGATGACGACGATGATGAAGATAAGAAGAAGAAAAGAACTCCTCTAAGAAAAAAGGAATAGAGAGGATCTCACTCAACTTGATAATATCTAAAAAAAAAAAAAAAAAAAATCTAATATCTAAAAAAAAAAGCCAGATGTGGTGGCACATGCCTGGAATCTTAGCTACCTGGGAAACAGCACGAGGGTCACTTGAGCCCAGGAATTTGAGACCACTCTGGGCAACAGAGTGAGAAAACTCTGTAAGACCTGATATTATTCTTACAGGATACAAGGTAAACATATACAAATTAATCACTTTTCATAATACCAGTAATAAACAAGTAGAATTTAAATTAAAAACACATGCCCCTAAAACTAGACCCCAAATATGAAATGTTTAAATATAAAATCTAACAAAATGTGCACAAGATTTCAATTCAAGGAAAAATCTTAAAGAATTAGTCTGAGCATGGAGACACAGGCCTATAATTCCAGTTACTTAGGAGGCTGAGGCAGGAGGATTGCAAATTTGAGGCCAGTCTAGGCATATTAATGAGACCCTGTCTCAAAATGAAAAGTACCACCAAGAAAAAAAAAAAACAATCAAAACCAAAATAAATGGAGATATTCCATGTTCATGACATGACAGGAAGTTTCAATAGTGTCCAGATGAGAGGTCTTCCTAACTTAAGCCACAGATTCAATGCAATTCTAATCAAATCCCAGCAAGTTATTTTTGTGGATATCAACAAACTGATTCTCAAGTTTACATGGAAAGACAATAGTCCCAGAATAGCCAACTTAAATTGAAAACCAAAGTCGGAGGACTGACACTCAACTTCAAGACTTACTATAAACCTACAGTAATCAAAAGAGTGTGGTATTGGTGGGGAAAACAAAATAAATAAATAGATCAGTAGAATTTTAAAAAGAGTCTAAAAATAGATCTACATAAATATAGTTAACTGATCTTTGATAAAGGAGCAAAGACAACACAAAGAAGAAAAGAGAGAATTGTCAACAAATAGTGCTGGAAAAAACTAAACATCATATGAAAGAACAAAATCTAAAAACGGACTTTACAATCTTCACAAAGATTAACTCAAAATGGATCACAGACCTAAATTTAAAATGCAAAACTATAAAATTCCTAGAAGACAACAGAAGAGAAAACCTAAATGCCATGGGTATGGTGATGACTTTTTAGATACAATACCAAAATCACAAAAGAAATAATTAACTGAACATCATTAAAAAACCTCTGCTCTGATTCCAGTGACTCAGGAGGTTGAGGCAAGAGGATCACAGGTTTGAAGCCAGCCTCAGCAATTTAGCAAGACTCTCAAGATCCTGTGTCAAAATAAAAATAAAAAGAACTGGGAATGTAGCTCAGTGGTAAAGTACACCTAGATTCAATCCCCAGTACTTGAAAAAGAAGAAAAAAAAAAAAAGGAGGAGGAAACCCCAACTTCTGCTCTGTAAAAACAAAAAACAGTATGAAAAAAATGAGAGGACAAGGAACAGACCAGGAGAAAATATCTGTAAAAGGTACATCTGATAAAGGACTATTAAAGCACCCTTAAAAAAAACTTCAAAATACGAAAACCCTCAAAAAATAATAGGCCAAATAACTTAACAGATACATCACCAAATATACAGATGAAAAATAAGCATGTAAAAAGATGCTCCATGGGGGACATGACTCAGTCATAGAGCATTTGCCTAGTGTTCAATCTCCAGCACCAACAAAAACAAAAAATAAGAGGAAAACAGAAAAAAAAAAAAAAAAGATGCTCCACATCACTTGTCATCAGGGAAATGCAAATAAATCAACAATGAGACACTATTATACACCTATTAGAATGGCCCAAATCTGGAACACGGACAACACCAAATGCTGGTAAGGGAAATAGAGCAAATGAAACTCTCATTCTGCTTGTAGGAATGCAAAATGGTACAACCACTTTTGAAGAGAGTTGGGTAGTTTCTTACAAAATTAAATGTACTCTTACCATGCAATTCAATCATGCTCCTTTGTATTTTGTGAATGAAAACTTTCATTCACGTAAGAAAACCTACACAGCCCTTTATAGCAGCTTTATTCATAATTGCCAAAACCTGGAAGCAACTAAAATGGTCTTCTACCTGTGAATGAATAAACTAACTATGATACCTCCAGGCAATGGAATATTATTCAGTGATAGAAGGAAAAGAGCTATCAAACTATGAAAAGACATGGAGGAACTTTAAATGCATACTGCCAAGTGAAAAGAAGGCAATCTGGAAAGACTACACATACTGCATATTTTCAACTATGTGACATTCTAGAGAAGGCAAAATTATGGAAATAATAAAATGTCAGCAGTTACCAGGGGTCGTAGGAAGAAAGAGAAATAAATAAGCAGAGCACAAAAGATTTTCAGAACAATGAAACTACTCTGTATGATACTGTGATGATAGAGATATGTCATTATACATTTATCAAAACTCATAGAACATATAATATCAAGAGTGAACCTGTATACTATGGACTTTGGGGAATAATGATGTGTCAGTGTATATTTTTCAACTGCAAAAAAGTATACTAAAAAAGTGAGGCATGTTGACAATAGAGAGGTTATACATGTGTGGGGCAGAAGCTATATGAGAAATCTCTGTACCCTCAGCTCAATTTTGCTGTGAACCAAAAACAATGCCAACAAAGAAAGTTTATTTAAAAACTTAAGTTGCTCTCTTGTTGCTCTCTTGATGTTAAAAAAAATGGGTAAACATAAACTTATCTGAATTAAAGAAGTTTTTCTGAAATGTAGAAGAGCATAAGGTTTAGAGTAAGATGACACAGATAAGACACAGTTTAACTAAGCCTTTTGCTTTTGCTCAGTGATCTGGGATAAGTCACTCAGAAATCAGAACATATCGAAAGTGGATCTGCCAAATATTTTACAAGGTCATACACTAATGTGTTGTAACTGAATTTCATTATATTTGATTTCAAAGACACAATTTCTGACTAAACATCTGGAAACTTTGTTTTACCTCATTTTTTAGTTGTGCTTTAATTCATTATGAAGGTAATTTAATAGTATCTTCCAAGTTTGGCTTTTTGCTTACAACACCATGTAATTGTAAACAAGAAAGAGAATACCAAACATTATGTGAACATAATGTATGCTGCAGCGATAGCACAAATGTTGGTGGCTCCCTCACAAAGAGTTTTGCTCATAGCTCTAGGTTCTAGACTTCACTTAGAAATATGGGGACTATATTTTCTTTTCAGCTGAGTATTTCTTACCTGTAATAACTAAATTCACAAACAACTTTAAATTTTGAAGCCATTCAATATTCCCTCTGAGGTTTTTGAGGGTAAATATATGAGAGTATAATATGCTTTATACAATGTTTACATATTCAGAGTATTAGAGAAAATTCAGTATAACTCAATCTTACCTGAGGGTGGGTGTTCAAAATGTTCACCATCCCCTTGGGAATTGCTCATTTTTGCAGCTTCACTAGTATATACTGGGGGCTCTTCTGTTTTAGCCTCTAATAACTTCAGAATTCCAAAATCCAATTAAAAAACACACACACACACAGTTTAGATTAACTTTTACTAATCCAAGAGAGTCTATTTTCCAAAATTTTTAACATGTTATTAGCTCCTACTTTTTGAGGTAGGTAAACATTTCAATTTAAATCACACAGTATTAATGATAACTAGTATGATTTGAATTTGAACTTAGAAAGAACTGAGTGGAAACCCAGTCTTCGCCCTTACTATTCATGTGACTCGAAGTAAAACACCAAAAAAAAATTGTAAAAGAAACAAAACCATTTAATTACAAAGTGATTTTCCATTATTTGTTTAAAATAGTCTATATGTCACTACTATGAAATGCTTAAAGTAGCCACAGTTGGTTTACTTCTATTTCTAAAATGGAATAGTATATTTAAACCAAAGAGGGCTGGGGATGTGGCTCAAGTGGTAGCTCGCTCGCCTGGCATGCGTGTGGCCCGGGTTCGATCCTCAGCACCACATACCAACAAAGATGTTGTGTCCACCGAAAACTAAAAAATAAATATTAAAATTCTCTCTAAAAAAAATTAAAAATAAACCAAAGAAATTGTTTAATCATAGGAAAAAAGTAAACTAATATTAATTCATTTTTCTTTAAAAATCAAGAAAAATCCAACCTTATACAGCTTATTAGGCAATTCATGTATACCTAAATCATAAACCTCTATATGCTAGGTGATAGATACATGGGGATTCATTATTATTACCATCTCTACTTTTTTGTGTTTGATAACTTCCATAATAAAAAGTCTCAAAAAAAAATCATTGACCCCTAAGACATATTATCCAAGAAACATACTATGTTTTGCATAAAATCAGAAGGTTATAATTACTATCTTCTAATAGTTATTTTAAACTGGTGTTATTCTATATCTTTACATTCAAAAATCTTCATTAATACCTAAGAACTTCACTTCCCTTTACTAAAAAGAAATTTACTCAAATCCCAATGGCTTGGAAGGCTGAGACAGGAGGATCATGAGTTCAAAGCCAGCCTCATCAGCCGCGAGGTGCTAAGCAACTCATTGAGACACCATCTCTAAATAAAAATGCAAAATAGGGCTGAAGATGTGGCTCAGTGGTCGAGTGCCTCTGAGTTCAATCCACAGTACCTTCCCCCAAAAAAGATAAATCTCTTTCTTCTGCTTTTCATTGGGTACTTAGAGTAAAATGGATTTTTTAAAGACAGTAAAATAATACAAGTATGTATCATGACTAAGAGGAAAAAATGTGGAAAACGTCTGTAATCCCAGGAGTTTGGGAGGTTGAGGAAGGAGGATCAAAAGTTCAAAGCCAGCCTCAGCAAAAGCAAGGTGCTAAGCAACTCGTGAGACCCTATCTCTAAATAAAAAATACAAAATAGGGCTGGGGACATGGCTCAGTGGTCTAGTACCCTGAGTTCAATCCCTGGTAAAAAGAGGAAAAATTGGAAAACAACTTTTTTTTTTTTTTTTTTTTTTTGTACTAGGGATTGAACCCAGGAGCACTTCATCACTGAGTTACATCCCCAGCCATATTTTATTTTATTTATTTATTTTAATTTTGAGACAGGGTCTTGCTACGTTACCTAGGACCTCACTAAATTGCTGAAGCTGGTCTCGAACTTGGAATCCTCCTGCCTCAGACTCCCAAGTCATTGGGATTGCAGGTGCCTGACAAAGAAATAAAGAAAAAATTTAAGTGACTGAGAGATAGTTTATATTAGGTTTCCTTTTCTCCTCAAGTAGATTGTGAAAATATAAAAAGGGAAGCAGCCAGGAAAGAATAAATACTAGCTTCCCACAGCTCTATCAGAGGAAAATATCCTTGGAAAGATTAGGCACTTTTTTTTKKGGGGGGGGGGGTAAATGGTTGACCAAATTATTTAATGTACATTTCCTACAAACAATGACATTATCTCATATAACCACAATAAAGCCACCAAAATCAGGAAGTTACCATTGAAACATGACTGTCTCATACCAACACCCCATTCATATTTTGCTGGTTTTCTTGAGCGCTCTTTCCACCTAGGGGTTGGGGCAACAGATAGAGTCCCTAGTTGCATTGAGTTGTTAGGTATGGATAGTGTCCTATGAGCTGGAAGAGCTCCTCAATCTTCCTGTGACTTTTGTCACCCTTGATACTCTGAGACCTTCCACCAGCAGTTCTGTAGACTGCCCCTGGTTTGGGTGTGTAGTAGGTTCTTATGGTTAGATCCAGTTTATGCCGCTGGGTAAGAATGTCACAGGAGTGATGTGCCCTTTGCGAGACATCTATCAAGTAGCCTATGATCTCTGCTCATCCTTTTATCAACAGTGGTCATTGATTATCTGATTAAGGTGAGATTAGGCACTTTAAGGAAATGGTTCTTAAATGGAGAACTGTATGCCAAGAAATATGGTACTGAATCATTCTGCTTCTACATGATAATATTAAAGCCTGCAAGGAACCTTTGGTAGTAGCTGTATCTGCTGTTTCAACACACTAAAGCAGTCAAGAATGGAAAAGTAAAATATTTTTCTTAATCTTTTATTCAGAAAATTAAGGGAGATTTTTATAAGGAACTCCCCAAAACATGAAATGTATTACAGTTTTTGAAGTTCATGATCTTGGTCTTTATTATGGAGTTTAAAAAATAGGTTGCTTGAAGATTTATAAAGTGAATAAAGTTATAAAGAGAGAATTACTTATTTTTGGTACTAGGGATTGAACCCAGGGCCTCACATACACTACGCCTATGCTTTCCACCACTATGCTACACCCTGCCCCCAAAAATACTTTCTATATAAGAATGTATAAGGTTACACACTCTTGTAGGAAAGAAAGTATATACTTCATGCATAAAAAAGTATAAAACTTTAAATATAAATGCTTAGACTTGCCATGAAAATATGACTACTTGAGGAACTGTGTAGTTTCATAGAAGCTTAAATGTTAACAGCAAAAACTATGTGCAAAATTAGTAAGAGATAACAGCAACTGAATATACTCCTGTTGTATTTATATGTTCTGCAGGCACCTTTTTTTTTCTCTTCCTTTCTTCCTCCTGGTCATATTCCTCTTTTGATTTTCTGAAATATACAAATATAAGGTTAAAAAAAAAGTAAACTTTGTTTTTTGGTCAAAAAACAGTGATCAACTAAGCAACATGCTAACTGTGAGCAAGGCATTTTGGACACAGAGATGGAAAATAATACTGCCAGGCTTTAAAGCTTACAATCAACTGAAGAGAAATAGACAATATACTGCACAATAAAATTTAGTAACATAAAATACATGGTTACCGTTTCTTTAAGAATTGTGAAGGGAAATCCTAAATCCAAATCTGAATAGCAAATTCCATTAATCAATACTTTGATTTTCTTTAGAGAGATTAATTATACCCCCCATAAGAGCCATTTCTCCCCTCATTCTGTTTTTTTCAGTGGAATCTGAACTATCATAAAGCATTCCTGATGCCACTGTGCCAAAGCCTATCAATTTTTACAAACTGCTCACTGAGGCAGTCTGACTTACGAAAACAGCTGAGGGTAACATTTGTACATGTTCATAACTAACCTGTACCATAGTATATCCACCTCAAAAGCTTTTAGAAAATAAAGTCTAAAAGCACAATGGATCAGTTTTCAGATCACATATCAACCAATGCAACCAATACAAGTCAAAACTTCACCATTACTATGTACCAAATACCCTGCTATCTTCAAATCTTTAAATTCAAAGCATTCTGTGCCATGGAAATTAAGATCTGGCAAGAAAGGGCCAGGTCAACCTACACATCTGTTTTGCTCCCTACAACCACTCAAACCCACTGAAGTTAAGCACTAAATTGGGACACCTGTCATAGTTTCCACTAGGCCATCTAACCCAACGATCATCTGGTACTCCACTCCAGTTATGCAGGTATCCTTCTCCTCTAATCTTAGTACATTCTCACAGTTAAAAATTAGATGCTACAATTTCCCCCTCCCTTCCAAAACTTCCATAATGGTCAGGAGACCATAGAAATGCCCACTAAGCTTTCCTAGTTCTGTGTAGGCCCCTTTCGTGGGTTGCATGTCTACCCCACATAAGGCATTTGGATGAAAAATCATGTACTACAAAGAAGAAGAGATCTGCAAAATACTAATCTGGAATAAACACCTCCCGATGTTGTCCAGTCACCCTGTCAGCTATGCAGCTGTGGAGTCTGGAAGACAAGTCTCCTACCATGTGACAACTTAACTACTGCTAATTCTAAGATCTAGAAGCCATGAAGAATTCAGCTTAACTTCCCACCTCACCAGGGTTCAGGCTGGGTATACTGCAACTTTTTTTTCCATTAGTGATTAATTATATGGTGAGAGTAGAGGGAAAAAAAAATAGACTCAGTTGGGCATGAGTCACCAGAAAATAATTCTTCCTATTAATTAAGAAATATAAGGGGCTGGGAATGTGATTCAGAGGTAGAAGGCTTTCCTAGTGCTAGAATTCCTGGCTAAGAGAAAAATAAATATAATATGAGTTGAGCATTCCTAATATGAAAATTCAGAATTTTTTGTACAACACCACAATGCTCAAAAAATTTTAGATTTTCAGATTAGGAATGCTCTCAGTAAGGCTTATGCAAATATTCCAAAATCTGAAAACATCTGACACCTGAAACACTTTTGATCCTAAACATTTTGGATGAGGGATAACTCACATAGTTATAAAATGATAAATCTGAAGGTCTTTAGTAGAAAATTTAGGTATTTTACTAGTTTATAATATTTTCTGGATAAAAAGCACATACATATAATTATTACTGTTATTATCTTACTAATATTACTAATGATTCATTCCAAAATAATTATAAAGAAGTATACCTAAGAACTTCCCTCAGGATTTTCATCTCTTCCTGTTCAAGGTCACTGACCACATCAGAACCATCAGTCAAGCAGTCAGGTAACATACCTGTTCAAAATCAAATACCACATGGAATAATATCAACTCAACTGAAAACACTTATTTTTGACTGTTCATCAGGTAAAATTAGTTTACAATTTATCACTTAATAAAATATTTCATTCTTATCTTTTAACTCTTTCTCATTTTAGAAAATAAGTCCCACCAAAAATAACCAAAATTTTATCTAGAAATATATCTCAGTAATTGTTTGTGTTGGCTATTAAAAATAACAATCATCATCAGGACTGGAGATGTAGCTCTGCAGTAGACCACTTGGCTAGCATGCTATCTGTTCTGGACTTGATCCCCAATACCACACACACGTATACAAAAGATATCTGGAAATAAACAATATAAGTTTCTGGCTTCTGGAATCATATAATATCTGAGAATATACCACTGAAATCATTAAGCTAGGATTAATAATAAAAATATGTTCTTAAAGGTGACTCTTAAATTGAAAGAGCTTAAAAAATATTATTTTGTTAAAACAGCATTTAGGCTGGGGATATAGCTCACATGCACAAAGCCCTGGGTTCAATTCCCCAGCACCACCACCACCAAAAAAAAAAGGCATTTAATACTCTTCATTCATTTATTATATGTTAACATTATATTATAGCATTTATTAAATGTTACTAAAAAAGAGTTCTGTTTACTATGTGCAATAGAAACATGGTGCTAAGCACTTTGTGGAGGTATTAAAAAGATGAATAATGCAATATCTGCCCTTGGAGCTTTTGTTCATATATTGATCTAATAACTATAAACCACGGCAATATCAACTTCAGCCCAAAGCAATAAAAACTGATAGGATGTAATTTTGTAAATGTAGGTTTAATTTACTTTTTTACTTATATATTCCTGGTAAACAGGAAGAGTGGTAATAAGTGTTCTGCTTCTATCTCTAATAATTACTTTCTAAATTAGCAGAATGTCTCCTCCTTTTTTCCTTCTATTTCTTCATCCATGTATGACTATGGGATTTTGGATCTGCTCTAAAGTAAAGTAGCTTCATTATTTTAATCCCTTTGATATTTAGATGCATTTTCAAAATTAAACAATTTATTTTGGGATAATTGCAGATTCACACACAGTTGTAAAAAAAAAAAAAAAAAAACAGAAAGATGCCATACACTCTTGACCCAATTTTTCCCATGAGTAACATCTTGCAAAACTACATAGTACAATATCACAACCAGAATATTGACATCTATAAAACTCGCCAATCTTATGTGCAATTTTGCTCAAAGGACATAAAATTATTCTTCTAATAATAATCTTTGTAGGGAAAATTAAAAGTACTAAGGGAGGAATAATGCAATGTACTTCAAAACCATCACAATAATGCTCTGGCATGCATTTTCCCCAAATTCTTAGATATGATACAACCAAAATCCAGAGAGCTTTCAAAATTTTCTTACCGCAAAGACAATTTTCAAATAGCCTGCATTTTCTAAGATACTAATCTCTAGATCTAAATTAAGCAATATTCTTAAATACAAGTATGAAAATTCTGTAGCAGAAACTAAGAATTAGTTTATGTTAAAATGTAGTCAAACTGTCCCACACTGTGGTCTGATACCAGCCATTACTCCATATTATCATCTTCCCTCATTAATGTATACCACATTTTGTGTAGCCATCAGACAGCCAACTACTTAAGAGGCTGGGTCTCCCCTACCCCAGGAGTAATTTTTGACTGGTTGAAACCAACCATAATAGATTCATTCACTATGCCAGAAAGGCAAGTGACCCCCAAGCCTGATCAATAGGGTTTGAGGAGAAAATTCTTAGAGGGCTTTCATGAAAGTGCTATCTTAGTAACAAAAAGAAATTTACAGGAAGAACAGGAAGAAGCATTCCTTTTCTTCAAGAGATTCTATTAAGCCTGCATTGGATATAGCCAGAGTATAATCATGAGAGAAGATCCTGAGAATGGCAGAATATAAAGATAAAAAATGTCAGGGTCCTTGATAATATCACTAAGCCACCAAACGAACCAACCCTGGACCTGTCTTTCTTTTCTCCTTTCCTCTGGACTTGTTCTATGAGATGATTATTTCTAATTGTTTAGACCTTTTCATGGGGGTGTTCTGTTGCTGGAAGTCAAGCTATAGGTATTTACTCCCTTTTTATTAAAATCTAAATAGTTTCCAGTTAAATTTCAATGTAGTGTCCAATGTCAAGTTCACTGTTTCTCTTATCAAAACTGATTCTCTCAAAACAAATTTTACTAATATAAAATAATTATCCCACAGGTCAGAATAAAGCATAGTCTCAGGAATATTAAAACGAAAAGATTTTATAGATCAAACCATAGTAAAAAGACAAAAAGAGACTATTTTCCAAACTTATTTACACAAAAGTAACAACACTGTGTTATGCATTCTTCATGGTTAGGGTAATATTATCTCCTACCCACGGACAACAGCTCTATTACCTGCTGTGGAAAGCATCTTGGGAGTTTAGGGGATGGTTAAGATAATGGCTGGCTCTAAGGAATAGTCCACTCGCATCAGACAAAATGAAAAGGAGAATCTTCAAGAGTTTGCAATAGAAGCACTATTGTCGCATGTTCTAGACACTTAAGAGTAAACAGTACAACTGAACTTTAGCTCTCATTTCTTCAGGAAACAATCAAAAGTATGGTCCTGCTGCCAAACTATGAAAGAGGTTATAGGCCATGACAAAGAATATCAGTAGCAATCTATCAAGCAAAGGAACACATAAAAATTAAGATAACGTTACCAGAGCCAGAAATCTGAAACAGAGATGAGAATCTGCTTTGAAAAGGAGATGGTATATTAATAAGAAGTATGATTAGAAACTTGACTGTTTTAAGTCAGAATATTTAATGTAGTTCAGGTACAAAAGAGGGGGTGAGGACAAAAGCAAAAAGGGCTACAGGGGAGGTGAGTTTAAGCACAGGGACAGGCAAAAAATAAAGTCAAAGAGGGTTACTAGAGCCTTCTATTTTCTTTTCTGTTGATGTTGGTACAATAATCATATTGCCCTAGACCAGTGGTTTTTAGTGTGGTCTCAGGACCAGCAGCTTCAATATCAGCTGGAAGTTTGTTAAAAATGAAAATTATTAGGTCCCAACCCAGCCCTACTAAATCAGAAACTGAGGTTATCATGTGTTTCAACAATTCTTCCAACTGATTCCAATACACATGAACCACAGTTTCTTTCTCAAGTCTTAACAATGATAAGCTAGCGGAGTAATCTTTTCTTAGCAGTAATTATAACCAATACAAAGTGTCATAAACACAAAAGCTAAAGAGAATCAAGTCTGCTTTCTTTGAGATGTCCAATATACACTGATCAGGAAGTTTACACTTTTTTTTTTTTTTGGCGGGAGGTTGGGGAGTACCGGAGATTGAACTCAGAGGCACTTGACTACTGAGCCACATCCTCAGCCCCATTTTGTATTTTATTTAGAGACAGGATCTCACTGAGTTGCTTAGCACCTTGCTTTTGCTGAGGGTCTCATTGAGTTGCTTAGCACCTTGCTTTTGCTGAGCAATACTGTCACAGAGAACACCTCAACAAAAGCCTCATCAAAAAGATCTATTTGAAAGAGGAAGGAGCCCTTCCCCCATTTTTGAACTCGAAATCCTCCTGCCTCAACCTCCCCAACCACTGGGATTACAGGCATGCACCACCATACCCAGCTACACTCTTGAGTCTCTTACATCAGCTAAAGACTTTCAAACTTGAAATAAATGTATAAAAAGCAGCCTCACTTAAGATCATATTAGAATTAAAAAAAAAAAAGCATTAGCACTTAGATTTCTAACTTCAACATTTTACCATTTCTCTCTTGAATTATTCGAATGGCTTGCAACTGCATTTCAATGTTTTTCTGGACCATCATTGCTTTAAAGATAGTAAAATCTTCTGCTGCCAACACAGGTTGCAAAATGGCCTGTGAAAAGAAATCTGGAGGTTAAATGAAGACTAAATTTTTAAAACTATTTCCCACACATTCAAATAATTTTCATTGCAAAACAGCACATTAATTCATGAGTGCTGTATCATTTATGGTTAGATGACTCAAATGGACAATTTTAAGATTTTATTTTAAAATCCTTTAAGATACAATTCTCAAAAGGATAACTCTCCAAATCCCATGCTTAAGCTAAAGTTAACCATGATACATTTTCCAAATGAGCCAATACTAAATGACTCTGAAAAAAACAACACAAGAATCTGGCTTACCTTTTTGAAGTTACCATTTCAGTATTTAGGTTTGTTTTTCTACCAAAATAACATCTATTTAATTTATATTCCTGTCACTTAAATTTTATTGCTTAATAAAAATTCAGTAACTACAAAAATTATCCCTTAATCAATAAAAAGTACCAAGTTAAATGTCAATAAATGGAATCTGGAAAGTAAGTGTAATGAACAATTATGTGAATGCTGTTGTAGTTGTCTTATATGCAGAAAGTTATTAGAAAGAAACAGAGTTAGAAATTATGATGTAAAATCAACTGAGAAGTACAAGAAATTTTTTAAAAAGGTGTCTAATATTAGGGTGCACACTTAATACTTCCCTTAACTATTGAGAATATTATATTATTAAGAGCAAATCAATTTCCAAACTAATTAATAAAAAGTAGAATAAAATATAAATGCCTAAAAACAGATCTTATTTAGAATTCTTTCCAGCTTTACATGATATTACTGGAAAAGCTGACCATACAAAATCATGCTGAGGCAATGAAGGACATGTGATTTACTAGGTAGGCATTAGCAATATCGTCACAGAGAACACCTCAACAAAAGCCTCATCAAAAAGATCTATTTGAAAGAGGAAGCAGCCCTTCCCCCATCAACCAGCTTACATCCTAGATTTGTGCAGGAGAACAAAACAAAGATAAAGTGAAAAAGCAGTTCTATGTGACAACTACATGGGGTCAACTATAGAGAGAAAAAAGGAAATGTTCTTTTCCACTAAGTTTACAAATACAGTCCAGAAAGCCCCAAAGCAGGACCTGACAAACAAGCTTCAGCTGTGTTTGAAAGCTGCTGCCCAGAGTTCAGTACTCAAAACAATGTGGGCAGTCTCTGTGATTGCTTACTGAAGTCTACCAGGGTCCGATTTATAGGATTATGCCACTAAATAACTTCTCTGGAACTTATAATACAAGGTTCCTCAAAATGTTATTCTTGATTCCTCTTAATAAATGCAAGAAAGAGAGATTAATAAAATGCATATTCCTGAGCCCTGCCATAGATACAATTCATCTAAATCTCTGGAGGATGGGTGCCCACACATCTCCTCAGATAATTCTTACAACATTAAAGTTTGAAACCCACTGATACATTAGGAAAGGAAAAGAGTCCACACATTAGGAAAAGAAAAGAATCCTTGATAGCAAAAGCCTGCTTTCAGTTTGACTATGCACCAGTCCCATGACTTTCAACATATCATGTAAATTCTCAGAGCTTCAGTCTCTTTTCTGTAAAATCAATATATTAACAACAATATCTATACAGTATTTCATTGAACCTAATACTGTAGATTTGTAAGATAAACAACTGTTTTGTATGCCACTAAGAAAAAAACACTACCAATTAAACTATAATATCATCAATTATAAAATGCATTCCTACTTTAAAGATATTGTGATAAAAATTGCCTCATGCAGAATGATTTCTTTAAAAAATCATTTATGTGCATATATAAATATATCACCGAGAACTTCACCTTTATGTATAGGTAGAAAGAACCAATCAAATAAAAATAAATAGATGAACAAAAGAAAATCTAGATGAACAGAGGAAGGAAAATGGGGAGGATCATAAACTGAAATAGAATTCAATGCATATATGAGTTTATCAAGATGAACCCAACTACTATATATAACTATAGAATTCTAATTTTTAAAAAAATTTGCTTCTTAGAATAAAATAAATACAGAACAACTTTCTAACTAGGTATTGGGATTAAATAAAATGAGAAAACATTTTATAAACTGAAGAATGAATATAAAAGTAATTGCTCTGGACCTTTTGATGCTGGTTAAAATTATTAAACCTCTAGGTAGGTTAAGGGGGAAAAGAGCAAAAGCACAAACTACTAATCTCAAAAATGAAAAAAGTGTTATCACTACTGATCCTAAGAACACTGAAGGGATGACAAAGAAATACCATGAGTAATTATGCCCATAAATTTGATAATATATATGAAAATCCTTAAAAGATATAATCTGCCAAAACACAAAAGAAGAAATAGATCATTTGAACAGCCTCTGCCTTGATAATGAAGTTCAATCAATAACTTATAACCCTATATAATAGAAAATACCACACCAAAATGGGTTCACTGATGAATTCTACCAAACATTCAAGGAAGAAATTATACCAATTCTCTACAATATCATCCAGAAAACGGAAGCAGAGAGAATACTAATTAATTCATTATATGATGCCAGTATTACCCTAATGCCAAAACCAGACAGACATTAAAAGAAAACTACACATCAATCTCTCTCACGAACAAAGATATAGAGATATTCAACAAAATTTAGTAAATTAAAAACAACAAGATATATGAAGAATTATAAACCACAACCAAGTGGGATTTATTCCGGGTATGCAAGGATGGATCAGCATCTGAAAATCACTAAATATAACAAATATCAACAGAGCAGAGAAGAAATATCATCTGATCATAATAACAGATATGGAAAAGGAATCTAACAAAACCCAACAACCATTCAAGATTAAAAACTCTCAGCAAATGAGGACTAAAAAATTCCTCACCCAGTAAAGAACATCTGTTTAAAAACATACAACTAACTTTAAACTTAATGGTAAGAAACTAGATATTTTCCCACTAGATCAGAAATAAGGCAAGAATGATCTCTTTTACCATTCCCATTCAACATTATACTGGAAGTTCTAGTTAATAAAATAAAACATGAAGAGTTAATAGAAAGTTATTAATTAAGAAAGAAGAGGGCTGAGGTTGTGCCTACATGGCAGAGAACTTGCCTTATAGGTGTGAGGCACTGGGTTCCATCCTCAGCACTAGATGAAAAAATAAATAAACAAAATAAAGTTATAAGAAATTAAGAAGGAAGAAAGAAGACTGTTTTTGTTCACAGATAACATGACTTGTCTTTAGAAAAATACAAAAAGAAAAAAATTTTAAACTTCTGGAACATGTAAGTAATTAAACCAGGATATATTTTACCATATAAAAGTTAACTGCTCTCCTATGTACCAGCAATGAACAACTGGAATTTGAAATTAAAAACACAAAAGATAAAAAGATAAAAAAGAAGTACTTAGGAATAAGTCTAACAAAGTATTATCAAATCTGTATAAGGAGTAATAAAACTCTAATGAAAGAAATTAAAGATCCAAAGAAATAGAAAGATATTCCATATTCATAAACAGGGAGACTCAAAACTGTTAACATGTCTTCCCAGCTTAATTTGCAGATTCACACAACCCCAACAGAAATCCCAGCAAACTGCTTTGTGGATATTAAAACTTATTCTAAAAGATACATGAAAAGGTAAAGACCCAGAATAATCACACAACGTAGATAAAGAACAAAGTCAGGGAACTAACACTACCCAACATCAAAATTTATTATTAAGTTATAATAATCATGATGGTGGTATATTGGTGTTGTAGTAGATAAACAGATCAATGAAATCAGAATAGGTCCTGAAATTACACCTACATAAACACACTCAACTGATTTTTGACAAAGAAACAAAGGCAATTCAATAGAGAAAGGATAGTCTTCTCAACAAATGATGCTGGAACAACTCAAAATGGGCATCCTAAAAAAAAAAAAAAATCTAAACATTGGCCTTACACCAGAAGTTATCATAGAAGAAAATCTAGATAATTAGATTTGGTGACGACTTCTTAGATACAACATCAAAAGCAAACTCCATGAAAGAAAAAACTGGTAAATCAGACTTAATTAAAATTAAAAATTTCTACTGTGAAAGACCCTGTTTAAGAGAATGAAAAAAAAAAAACCCAAAAGAAAATTTTGCAAACTACTTTGAAAAGCATTATAACAGGATTTGTACCTAAAAATACAAAGAATTCTTAAACCTTAACAATTAGAAAACAAACAATTCAACTGAAAAATGGGCAAAAGAAAACAATATAGCATTACACACCTATTAGGACATTTATAATCCAAAAATACCAAGTATTGACACAGATGTGGAAAAACAGAAACTGTCCATTACTGGTGACAGAAATATAATATGGTAAAGACACTTTAGAAGACAGCTTAAAAGTTTCTTAAAAAGCTAAGCTTTGTCTTATCAGATGACCTAGCAATCCACTCACAGGTGTTTAGCCAAACAAATTAAAATCATAATGTCCACACAAAAATCTTAAAAAGATTTAAAAATTGCCAAAAAAATGGAAATAATCAGGATACCCTTCAATAAAAGGAAAAACAAACTGTGGTACATCCATACAATGTAATAATACTTGGTGATAAAATTATGAAGCCACAAAATATGGAGGAAGAGTTAAATGCACATTACTTAGTAAAAGAAATCAGTCTGAAAGGACATATACTATGTTCCCAATTACATGACATCCTGGAGAGGGTAAAACTACTGAGAAAATAAAAACACCAAACATTGTTTGGGAACTGAAACAAGGCCAGGAGGAATGAATATATGGAACATAGAGGAGATTTTTAATGCTGTGAAACTATTTTCTACAACACTGTAATAGTGGCTACATGGCATTCTATATTTGGCAAAGCCCTTACAAGTATACAACAGGAAGGGTTAATGTATCAATACTGGTTCATCAGTTATAACAAATACACAATACTAATGCAATATTTTAATAAGGGAAACTATATGCTTCATTTTTTATAAGCCTATAATTTCTCTAAAAAATAAATATTACTAGCTTCTTTAAAATCTTACTAGGACTCACACAAAATATTTTCTGTTATCCTATGTCTACTTTTAGAAATTCAATAGTAAACTGGGAGCAATGGCGCATGCCTGTAATCACAGAAATCACATGCAGATCAGGAGGCTGAGGCAGGAGGATTGCAAGTTCAAAGCCAGGCTCAGAAACTTAGCAAGGCCCTAAGCAACAAATGAAATATAAAAAAGGGCTGGGGATGTGGCTCAGTGGTTAAGCACCCTGGGGTTCAATCCCTAATACTAAAAAAGATTCAATAGTAACATCACAGATGTAATCTTCTTAACAGTGCCAATTATTATAAGAGAAATGTTTCTGCAAGTATTAATTTCTATCTTATAAAGGTCAATGCAAATCAAGTAAACAAAACAAAACAAACAAAAAACCCTTCTAGAAATCCCTGAATTTTGTCATACATTGAAATTAATAAGTTTTATCCTCACAAGCAGATATTGTTTTTATCCACTTCAATTGCAAAATACTACAAAATCCTGACGTTCAACTATAGGCAACTGAAATGATAAATATCTCACTATTTATTATATTGTCATATTTTTCTGAATTGGTATAAGATATTTTAATTCATGAACTTTTTTTTTAAGAAATCACATGTGTATAACAGAAAAACATGCTGTTAAAAAGTTGGTTATGGTCTGGGATTGTGGCTCAGTGACAGAGCGCTTGCCTTGCACGTATGAGGTACTAAGTTCGATCCTCAACACCACATAGAAATACATAAATAAAATAAAGGTATTGTGTCCATCTACAATTAAAAAACATTTTTTTTWAAAAAAAAGTTGGTTGTTGTGTGTTTTTTTTGTTTTTGTTTTTGTATTTTTGTACTGGGGATTTAACCCAGGGATGTTTTGCCACTGAGCTATATCCCCAGTTTTTATTTTTTATTTGAGACATGGTCTCAGTAAATTGCTTAGGGCATCACTAAGTCGCTAAGGCTACCTTGCAATCCTCCTACCTCAGCCTCCCAAGTCCCTGGGATTGCAGACAGGAACCACTGCCCCTGAACCTTTTTGTCATTACACTGCTTCATCTGATGCATTCCTTGCCACTTTTTCTAGCTTTAATCCACAAAGAATATGCCAGAACCAGTGGTTTAGATCTAATGATAACTAATGAAATGAAAAGAATTTTCCAAGTTTGCTTTAATTGTACAAATCCATGAAAACTGGCAGCCTGTATAGAAAATCAAAACCAAATCACCAAACCGAAACAAACCAAAAATTACCTCCTAAATTATCCAGGGCAAGCAATTTGTTTCTTTAATTCCTTCTTAGACACCCCAATATTGGAATCAACATTTTGATTTTCATGTATAAAGATTAGGTTGCTTCAAAGCAGTAAATAAAGTGCTTCAAGGTGTTTTTTCAGTAACAGTGACATCCTTATACTGATTAAATGTTGCTACTAAGTATCTGGTAACTAAGAATTTACTCTAGTAGAGAATAAATCTAACTAGTCCACATGGGGATTGAACGCATGACCCTAATCAAGCACCAAAATAGCTATCTTTAATTAAGAAGTGCTTCCATTTATTTATAGACCACCTGATATACACCAGACATTGTGCTAAATGCTTTATGTATGTTATCTCTTAAATTAAAAAAAAAAAAAAAAACATTTCAAAGTATATACTATCCCTATTTAACATATTCAAAAACTAAGAATCAAAAAGGTTAAGAGGGCTGGCATTTTAGCTCAGTGATTGAGCACTTGCCTCGCATATGTGAGGCACTGGGTTCAATCCTCAACACCACATAAAAAAATAAATAAATAAAACAAAGACAACTAAAAAAGTATTTTTTTAAAAAAAGGGTTAAGAAGGTAAACTGTACAAGAGCTTTTGCCAAAATCTTACACATAGTAAATGAAAGATTAAGGACTCATAAGCAGATAGATCCAACCATCTCAAAAGGCCTGCTTTGTTGTATATAACAAAACTGTACTATCAATTCTAAGCAAATTAAAAGGTATATGGTAGAATGAATTAGAAAACTGTTGTTGATCTTGATCTGAACACAGTATCTGAATTCTGAACATTTACGTTCACAAATAACTTAGTTATCTTGATAATACAAACAAAAGATAGTTATAGACTGTTGCCACTTTACAATAGTGCAAAATCAATATACATTAAGTAGAACCATGCTTTGAATTCTGAATTTTGATCTTATCATGGGCTAGCAATGTGCAGTATGATAATCGCTCTTGGTGATGGGCAACAGCAGTGAGCTTCCAGACAAACACATGATCACAAAGGGAAACAAGTGATACTCTATAGTGTACTATGTTGTTAAATTATGATGTTCAGTAGGTTAGGTGCATTAAATGCTTTTTGACTTATGATGGATTTATCAGGACATTAAACCCATCATAAGTTGAGGATCATCTGTAATTTTCAATCAAATTCTTCCTATTCCATTAAAAAGAAGAAAATAAATAAAAAGAAAAAATGTCTGTTATTGTTTCATAAACTAAAATCATGGTATATAATATATATGTGTAATATATAATATATATAGGTAAACTGTAAAACAACTTTTGCTTTATAGAATTATTAACTGATATAATATTTGTTTACATTAGTGTGTACACACTTTCTTTAAAATGTTATGTTAAAGATTTTCTATCTCTAGAATTAGAGATGATCATTAAATGAGAAGAAACTGTAAAAAAGAGAAGTGTACCAGTAAATGCCAGATTAATCAAAACAATCTCTTCAAGGACATAATAATAAGATAATTTAACAAATATTTATTGTAAACTACCTACTACAAATTAAGCTCTCATCTCTAAGCTAGTAACTAGAAATGCAAAGATACCATAAACAGCTCAAAGGATTTACAATCTAATAGGGCAAATGGACTAGTAGAAAACTATAATTCAAAAATATCCAAAATATAAAAGTACCCAGTGAGATAGAATGAGTTCTACCCTCTAATGATTAAGGGAGCAACATACTACTTCCATAAGTAGTAGCATTTCAGCCAGGCCCTAAGGAGTGCATTGGTTGTAGGGCCATACATCTTAGGTGAAGAAACAGCATGAGCAAAGCTGGGTACACAGATGCTTGTAAGAGTGAGTGGTCTGAAATGACAATAGTACATTCTGTATTGGAGAAGAGAACAAGAGATCAAGGCTGAAAATATAATTTGGAGTCACATCACAGACAAACCTCACTATCATCTTGCTAAGAAATTTTTAAATTCACTAAGAGGATGGCAAACCAAACTAAGGTTTTCAAAAGTCTACCTGGATAGTAGCAACATGTCTCTATTTCAACCTCTGAGCAAGGGCTCTCAGTTGAATGGCCTGTGTTGTTATACTGGCTCCACTACTTTAATAGCTATGGACTTTGGACTGGGTACTTAATATATCTATGCTTTAGTTTTCTCACATATAGATGAAAGTTAAATTACCAGTTTCTTAAGAGAGATCAAGATGACTAAGTGTCTAAAACATCAACTAGCATAAGTCCTCAATAAATGTTATAATTACACATAATACCTACTGCAGCCCAGCACTACAGAACTGAGACAACAGAAATAGTTCCAAAACGAAAAAGCCCCAGTAACTATTAACTATGGATGTACTAAAAGGGCAACTGCAGAATTATCAGAGATCTATATAAATAAAACAGTAATTTGGATAAACCCTGCAATCTTATTACAGTTGATTTTGGAAAGTTCATTTTTAATTGTATCAGCTCATTAATGCCTCAAATTATTATTTTTTAAGGTTGTTGTAAAAGAAAACCCCTATGTAATAAATTATCTTTTTCACCTCTTACAATGTCTAAAATATTATACTTTTGCAATCAAACATACTAAATTTAAGAGAAACCCTGGGAATTTTTGTTACAATTGCAAGGTAACAGAATAACAAAAAAGCAAAAACCTGTGATGTTCGAGTCTTGGCAAGAGGAGAAGTACATGCTTCTTGAAATTGATCTTCATTAATTCCAATTTCTTTGAGGTAACTTTCTAACAGCTTTTCAACCTAAGAAGGGAAAGTTTAACTTTTATATAGAAAAATTCTAAATTACAGTATACCTATTAAGTATTCAATTTAAAAAAGTATAATTCAAATGCTTTTGCATTAATCTATGTAATATTATATTGAAATAATATTGTCATTTCACCAAAATATAACAAAAGCTAATTTTTTTCAGAAAATCACATAAAATCATATTTCCTCTACTAGAAATAATAAAAGTCAGAATTATAAAATTCAATGTAGCAGAACTTTTCTGCTACTCAACAGTCATTATTAAAAATCATAAGACAACCATAACTAAGTGAAAAACTAACATTTCCCTGCAGGCATCAGCCAAAAATGATAAAATATAAAGATCAAATGTAAGATCCCTATAATTATAATTCCAGTCCTTAGATTCTAGAGTGGAAGAGATATGAAATCATAAAAATGAGATGCTCAGAGAAACCACCGAGTCTAATACAACTGATAGTACTGTTAGGGTAGATAATATTTGTGAAATTAAATAATTTTAATGAAGCAACATCAATTTTTTTTAATTTAGAAAATTATAAGCATCATTATTCTAATTACCTTTTAAAATCAGTGAAAAATACTTACAAGCTCTTTGTACTCCTGATGAATCTCTGTATAAGTCAATTTGCTTTCTTCCTCATCATCAAAAACTAAATTTGAGAAAAATATAGAGTAAAAAAATCATTTCACTAATACAAATTTATAATCCATTCTTTACAAATGGAACTATCATTCTGATAATTTAGCTCTTCAGCTTTGAATTTCTGCGGTTTTTCTTAAAAACAACTTAGATATGTAAATCTACTTTTTAAACTGTAATTTTTTTTTTTTTTTTTTTTTGTACCAGGGAATAAACGCAGGGGCACTTAACCACTGAGCCACATGCCTGTACTTTTTAAAAAAAATTTTTTTTAATTTTGAAACAGGGTCTTGCTAAGGTGCTGAGACTGATTTTAAAGCTGCCTCAGCTCCCAAGTCACTGAGATTACAAGTATATGCCGCCACACCTAGCTAAACTGTAAATTTTTATGAGATCCAAATTTTGACCAATTATTCACATGAAAATAAATATATACTGGATTTCAAAGACCTAAAAAAATTAGGGCTTGGAATGTGGCTCAAGTGGTAGTGTGCTCGCCTGGCATGTGTGAGGCACTGGGTTCGATCCTCAGCACCACATAAAGATAAAATAAAGATATTGTGTTCACCTAAAAAACTAAAAAATAGGGCTGGGGATGTGGCTCAAGCGGTAGCGCGCTCGCCTGGCATGCGTGCGGCCCGGGTTCGATCCTCAGCACCACATACCAACAAAGATGTTGTGTCCGCCGAGAACTAAAAAATAAATATTAAAAATTCTCTCTCTCTCTCTCTCTCTCTCTCTCTCTCTCTCCTCTCTCTTTAAAAAATAAATAAATAAATAAATAAATARATAAATAAATAAATAAATAAACATTAAAAAAAGACCTAAAAAAATTAAAAATATCTGCTGGGCTGAGTGGTGTACACCTGTAATCCCATTGACTCTGGAGGCTAAAATAAGAGGACTGCAAGTTCAAGGCCAGCCTGGGCAACTTAGTGAGACCTTGCCTCAAAATAAAAAATAAAAAGGGCTGGGTGTGTAACTCAGTAATTCAGCACCACTGGGTTCAATCCTCATACTGGTAAAAATAAAGAGTAAAATATCAAATTACTACTTTTAAAAATAAGCATATACACTGACATGATAATATATTAGATACAATGTTAAATATATTATTAAAATTAAGTAATATACACAAATACATATAATATATAATATTAATTTAAACAAGTTTTCTCTCATTTAAAAAATATTAAAACAAAATCTCCTTCATATTTAAGATGAAAACTAATTTGCCACAATATAAGGCAACAATTTCTTCATAAGCTTCTAATGGAATATTATTAAACATTAAATCCCTTTTATAACAGTCTCAAAATTATTTTATTGTACTGGAACTTTGCTAATGTAAAATTTATTCAAAGTGACTAGGCCATTTTTGTTACCACAGATGAATAAATGAAGTCAAAATAAAACCAAAACAAATGTTTACTGAGTGTTATTCGTGAAACAATTTAGATTAAGAATCTATAATCTAATTAAGAAACCAGGACACATTCATGAATTGTAAACAATAAATATTTTTTTCATTCCCCCAGAATGATCTTCCTAATTGGCAAAACTAACTTCTGTAATATTCAAGTTAAAACTCTTCCAATAACTGTTCACTTTCTTACAGAATAAATGCAAAATCCTTAGAACGCCAATCAAGACCCTCCAGGATTTGATCCCAAGTTTCACCTCACTTCCCACCACTCCAAAATCCAAATCTTGTCCTCCTAACAATACACAACTACTTGTAACACTCCAAACATAACACATACCACTTCAAAACCCATGCCATTTTTTTTTTTCCTTTACTCCATCCCTGTCCCCTCTCTACCAACCATTCTAATGTCTGATGCTGTTGCACACACCTGGAATCCCAGCTACTTGGGGGCTAAGGCTGAAGGACAACAATTTCAAAGCCAGCCTGGGTAACATAGTGAGATCCTGTCTCAAAATACAGTACTGTGGCAGAAGGTAGGAGGAGATATCGCCAAGTGTCATGTCATATTACTATGATCTGCAACACACTCTGTAGTACTAGTTTGGTTAGGTCTCTCCTCTCAGCCCATAATATACGACACAATGTACCTATCCTTATTATAACACCTGCCACTTTGTATTTTATTCTATTTAACTGTCTTCTCCATGACATTATATATTTCTCAAGTACAGGATTTTGTTATTCATATCTATCCCTAGTTTCTGGTTCAAGGAAACGCACTATTTGAAGTAAATGATGATGTCATGAAGTTGTACAAACTAATCTTGAAATCATCTCAAGTAGAGAATAGCACATTTTAAGCTCAAGTCAGTGAATTATAAACAGTTATTTCAAGTGTCACTGGCATGTTTCTTCTATTTATCCTGCAGCCACTCTGTAACACTGCATATACATTCTATACAACTGCTACTTAAGCTGTTTTCAGTTCATTCTAAAACCAAATTACTACACTATAGTGCTTATGAGGCTGAAGATATGCTTCTCTGTAAAATTACACTATTSCCTATATTATTACTAAGATGCAGCCTCTGTCTGTCTGTCTGTCTATCTATCTATCTATCTATCAGGGATTGAACCCATGGGAGCTTTACACACTGAGCTACATACCCAGTCCTGTGTTTTGAGACAAGGTCTTGCTAAATTGGCCTTGAATTGTGATCCTTCTGCCTCAGCCTCCCAAGTCTCTGGGATTATAGGGATGCTCCATTGTATTCAGTGCACTTTTGACACTTGGGAATAAAAAGATGAACAGTGCTTCTTTTATTTTTCATTTCAGCATTTAGTCTCAGTGGGATAAATGGAATTAATAGATGACATAATTTCTTTTTTCTTCTAAAGGAGGTCAGAATTCAACATGCCTCATCAGTATCATGATGGCATTTTAAATGCTTAAAAGAAGTACAAGTACGTTATTTTGTTTTTGACTGTCCTTAAAAATTACCTTTAAAAACAACACTTAATAACTAGTATTTGACTTTTGATTATAACAATGAGAATATAATAAAGAATCAGTGGTCAAACAAAATTTCATCTTTACCAGATTAATGGAATCTTCTTGAAAGAAGTCTTAAAGGATTATCCAGGATGATGAACCATTGAATAGCTGAATCCTTTCTAACATCTCCATTAAGTCATTATCTGATCCATTCAAACACTGCTAATGCCTGGGGGAACTCATTACCTTTTCAGGCAGGCCTTAGCATCCTGGATACCAAGCATTTCCTTCACTGAAATTTGTTTCCTTGCAGCTTGTACCCACTGACCCCAGCTCTATTCCACTGATTCTGACCATCAAGTCCTTACCATCAACACCTATAAGAAAGACATTCAAATGACTGAGGGGTGTTATTACTCTAAGTCTTGCCCAAGCTAAATAACCAAGGCAACTGGACATTTGTCCATGACATGGTTTCTGGTTCCCTTTCTGTGAAGACAGGATTGAATTCTGAATAAGTGTGAACTGGTCAGAAACCASAGGTGCCTATCCTTCAAAGGAACTATTATGTGACGTCTGTATGTCTCAAAAAAAAAATGAATGAAAGAAAGAAAAAAGAACCCAAGCATATGCCACTATCACCCCCTTTTTGGTATAGCTGAGAGTAGAGAACTCAAAAAGCAGAATAGAGCCCAGCGAGATCTCGGGCTCTGGTACTGCGGGAGTAATCACATGCCCTCCTTTGGCTCGTCAACAGGTCGGGGTGAATTATTTTTTATTTCTTACACTGATTCCACAGAGGAAAATGTTAGGGATCAGAAGGAACTCAAAGGAAAACTGGCACTTCTCCTCCCAGGTAACTGGGGAAACTATTAAAGAAGCCCACCCAAAGAGTCCACGGGTCCAGGGCAGAAATGTGCGGATGGGGTGAAAATCCGAACATAGAATTAAAGTCTAATGTTTTTCGGACGCGCGGCGTGGAGCAGATTGGGGAGGGCGTCTAGGTCCGAATTTTCAGATCTGGGGGAGTGGATGCAATTCCTCCTACATAACTAGCTCCAAATCTGGTCGGCCAGGGTGGAGACGGAGCAGATGAAATGATGTGTGGTGATAGCCTCCCTGACACTGCTGGTGCGAGAGAGTCAAGAATAAGATTGTCAGTTCGGGCTCTGGTTTTTACCTTCACATTTCTGCTCCACAAAGTCCAAGATGGGGATGGACCAGTCGGGGCCTCGCAGGAACCCCGCGATGCTCTCCACCACCCATTCCACCTCGTCCTCTTCTTCCGTAGCCATCCCGCCCCCACGGGGCGACGCAGATCCCTAGGCCAAATTCCGGGAGCTGGCTAAGGCCTTCCGGCTTCAGGAAGCCTAGAGGGAGTCGGGGAAAGGGTTGCTGGGACCACCTGGATGAGAACTACAAACCAGTTAACGTAAAATGGTAGCTATGGCAACAGGCGCAGCCGCCCCAGGCTGCGGCCCGGAAGTGAAGCCAGCTTCCCTGGCCTGCACACCTCAGAGGAGTAGGGGCTTTTAAAGAACGTTTCCGATTGGCTGGAAGGGAACAGTAAAGGATCAAAAGATAGCCTTTCACCCATTGGTCCGGAGTTGCTAGGCCGGAGAGCAGAAGTGTAGGCATTGGTTAGAGGTCCTAGAAGCAATCTAGGTGTTCCCTCTTCTGAGTGTGCGTGGGAGCCGAGGCTTAAAATCGCTAGCGGAAGGGTGCCACGAATCTCTGAATGACAAGGCTTCACAGGTTTTATTTCATGATTGTAACCTCAGTTCCTCAGTCCCATCCAGTTTCATACTCCCTGCCACAACCTTTTGTAATTAAAGAGTTGTCTGAAAATACAAAGCTGAACAAAGTCGATCTGTTAAGGTTTACTTATTGGCTCTGCAATCACTTTGCATGGGTCAGTACCAGGGGGTTCTTTAACTCTCAAGCTAAGATAACTCTAACTAGAATTAGGAGCTTTTCAGAGGCAAAATCAAAGTCAACATTCATTTAAATAAATGTCTTTGACACCAAATCTTATGTCAAATAACCAGGTTAGGGTCCATTGTGGAACTGGTCTTCAAAGGACATTGTCAAAGTGTTTGGGGCCCCCAAATAACTTCAGGCAACTTTATAATCAGGATCCATAATCAGGATCATTGTATGTACTGTTACAAAGCACTTTTTCTTAACATACTTTTTTACATAAAGATGTAAAGCTTCTTTCTTCATGACTGCATAGCTATAAACCACCCTTCAGTTCACACACAGTATCTTACTTATATACATAAGTGTGATCATTAATGTGTTGGGATTTATTTTCTCTTTTTTTCACTCCATGGTTTGGGTGTGCCATAAATTATTCAACTATTTTTTGCTTCAACAAACTGCTAAAATAAACACATTTGTGTCTGTAAGAATTGTCGGTTCAATTCCTAGGGATAAATTTGAACAGAATTGCCCAAAGAGAGAATATATACCCTGATTTATTTGACAATCCTCAATTTATTTATTTAACAATGCTCGATTGCTAAAATGAAATCATTGTGAGGTAGCTTTGAATGACTCCAAACGCTTAAGTAGTTTGCTACATGATGTTTTTGTTTTAAAGAACCCCCCCCCTTGACACACACACACACACCCCTGTCCGCATATTTTAAGATCAGACATCCTATCAGATCCCTTATGTGAGAATTCCGAGTGAACTCCCTACTCTCTTCGAGAATATGAGCAAACTCCTGCCCTCCAGAATGTTCTGTCAAACTTTATTGGACCACTTCCCACATGTGAGTTACTGACTTCAAATACGGGACTTAAACGTACACATAAACACAAGAGTTTGACCAACACTTTGAGAGTCTATGGAATGGCAGAAGGGTTAGCCATTCTGTCACACCAAGAGCTCAGACTTCCCCCAAGCCTTGGCGCCCCAACATCAGCACCACCCCCCAGCATGAAGTCAAAATGTCTGTGATGGCCCTGACAGCTTCTAAAAGAGGGGGTCCGCTTCCATCCTAGCTAGGCAATTAAACTTTAATGATTTTGTAACTCACTCACTATGTGGTTAATATGCTTCATCTATCCAGTGTAGTTGCTGTAAGGTTTATACACATTTTTCTCCCCTTTTAGGTGTTGTGAACCTCCAGAAAATTTCTCTTTGTATGGAAATTATTCTTTGATCACCTCCTTATTTCCACCAATTGTAAAAATCATGTCAATTTTTTAAAATCAGACAATTTTGTAAGGAACATACTTCCATATATGCTTTTTTTAAGAGAGAGAGAGAGAAGAAAGAGAGAGAATTTTTCATATTTATTTTTCAGTTTTCGATGGACACAACATGTTTATTTTATGTGGTGCTGAGGATTGAACCCAGCACCCGGCATATGCCAGGCTAACGCGTTATTGCTTGAGCCACATCCCCAGCCCTCCATATATGCTTTTTTTTTTTTTTTTTTTTTTTTTTTTA